AGTCAGGTAGGTGAAAGGCTTTAATTACTGGAACAGATGATCTTTCCCAAGGGAAGCCAAGGGTGTCCTTGAATTAAAACCACAGATTCCTGAGGCGCTTTCTCTTCTGAGAGCAGAAAAGCTTTTATGCAAATATTTTGTAAGGTTTGGAAAGGCGATCTGTTATTGTAGTGCCTGGTTATTATAATGTTTAGTTTTCAGTAATTATGATGAGACAGAGGAGCTGCCTGATGGAGCCAGGCATTCCCTGTGGGATGAGGGCTCCCCTGGAAATGCAGACCTGCTGGGTCTCACACTTTGTGTGTCTGGGGTTGGATTTCACACCTGCATGGCCTGGTTTTCTCTCCTGAACCAGGGGCTAAAACACAAGCCCTCAGCTGGTTTGGACTCTGCTGTCACCAGGGAGGGGACAATTAGTGCTCACCTGCTGCAGCCTGATCCCACATTGCCTCTCCAGACCCTTCATAGGATTCACAGGGTGGTTTGGGGTGGAAGGGACTTGAAATATCCTCTCATTCCTACTCCCTCCCCTGGGCAGGGACACTTTCCTCTATCCCAGGTTGCTCCAAGCCTCACCCAACCCAGCCTTGGACACTTCCAGGGCTGCCACAACTTCTCTGGTCATCCCAGTCTCCAGGGTTCCAACACCAACCTCACAGTAGAGGATTTTTTCCTAATACCCAGTCTTAACCTACTTTATTTCACTTTAATCACTCCATGCCCTTGTCAGACATCCCACACTTTGTGGCTTGTCTCTCCCTTCCCATCTGACACCTCTCCTCCTCATTTACCAGATCCCATGCTCAAAGAACACCCAAACACAGTTTTGATGGCCTGAACCCAGACTCATCAGCCCCGTGGGTCAGCTCTGTAACATTAAATAGCTCCACATCTTCCTCTGCAGCCACAGAATTGTGGAATTGTTAGGGAAGGCTGGAAAAGATCGTTGAGCCCAACTCTTCACCCAGCACCGCTGTGTTCGCCACTAAACCTCATCCCTAAGTGCCACATCCACACATTTCTTGGGTGCTCCCATGTGCAGTGACTCCTCCACTTCCCTGGGCAGCCTTTCCCAAAGCCTGACCACCTTCCCAGTGAAGAATTTTTTTCCTAAAATCCAATCTAAACCTGCACTGGTGCACCTTGAGGCCGTTTCCTCTTGTCCTGTCACTTGTTACCTGAAGAAGAGACTGACTCCAACCTCATTAAAACGTCCTTTGTGAAGTGATGGTGGTTTTGTCACCAGGAACAAACCTTGGCTCTGTCTCCTTGTTCCCATTGCCACATGAAATTCCTGTTATTCACCCAAGCAAGGTAGGTGAGAAATACAGCTCTGGTGAAGCACAAGAACACGAACACACATCCATGGCTGCGTTTATCAACTCCTCTCCTGTCCCAGGAGGAGAAAGAGGGAGCAGGAGACCAGATCCTGCCTGGGTTTTCACTTCATCAGGGCTAAGCAGCCAATAATTACTCCAGATGAATACCCTTGGAGGAGAGCCAGAGAATCCCAAATCATTCTCTGATTCCAACTTTCAATTTACCCAGCCCGTGCTAGGCTCATTAATCACACTCGCAGCACCCAACACAACAGAAATTAGTCTCTGATCTTCCCTCCTCTTATTTCATGACACGAGGAGTTGGGGGCAAGGGGATGAGAAAAGAGAGGCAGAGGTGCCACCCACGAACCTCACAGTCACTCAGAGGGGCTGGGATTAATAAATCAAAAATCCATTGTTAATAGTACAAGCTTAAATATCCATCTAAATGCAAATGAATGAACACTCAAGGGTTCCTCCTCTTTTTTTTATTTCCAAGTGCTCTGTTCGACAGCTCCATCTTTGAGGAAGCACATGGTCACCAGATAATTGTCTGGTTCTAATTGCAATTTTACAGTCCAACCCTTCACAGCCCATGGATTTTAAGTGGCCTTTAAAGGGTTTTGGCATGCTCTGGGTGGGATTGGAAGCTCAGGTGGCTGCTGGAACAGGCAGGAGCTCTCGTGGGAGGATTGCTCCAGGTTTCCAGCCTCTGCACCTCTTCAGTCACAGGAGGCAAGGGGTTAAATCCAGAGGCTGGGCCACTGGAATCAGGTGGAATTTGGGTCACCAAGATCTGCAGCCTCGGTTGGGTGACTCTGGGTGTGGGGAGGCTCCACCTGGCCACCCATCCTTGGAGCAGAAACATGGAGAGAGGAAAAAGAGGAATCTTGAGGGGTCTCAGCATCTTCTGAGCAAGCACCACCACAACAGGCTGGCTTGGGCTGCAAGCAGGGAATGCAGCAGGGTGGAGAACGGGCAGGGAAATGAAGCTGTAAATCCATGAAATTGTTCAGAACTGGAAAATGGGATTTCACAACATCGCAGAATGGTTCAACCTTCAAGAACATTTCATTCCAACCCCTCTGCCATGGACAGGGACACTTTTCTGTAGACCAGGTTACTCAAAGCCCCATCCAGCCTGATCCTGAACACTTCCAGGGATGGGACATCCTTAGTTTCACCCATTTGCACAGCCACCTTATGGGACTGATGTGTGGGAAAAGCCCCAGTTCACAGGGAGAGGTGGCAGGAAGGAGAAGATGAGAGCAAAGAGGGGAATCACAAAAGAGTGGCTGAACCACGGGGTTTCCTGGCACAGAGTCAACAATCAGAACCTCTGCCACAAACCAGGCAACAAGTCCAGGGTGCAGCCTAAAAGTTCTTCTTCCAAGAAGGAAACAATTACCCAAAATCGTGATTCAAACCCCCTGACAGCTCCAGAGCGCTGTTAAAGTTCGAGGTGAGCAGTCAGGACTGGGGAACAGAGTTTGCATAATTTGCCTTTCATTTCAGACTTTCCCAGGAGGCAGCAGTGGTAGCAAATCAGCTTTAAAATGTTGTGCAAATCAGCTTTTAAAATATTGCACAAACAGCTTGGCAGGTCCCCTCGCCAGAGCTCGCCGGATCAGCGCTAAGTTTTGGAACATTGTCTGAGCAAAAATCTGCTGACATCAGGATCTGGGGCATTTCAGCTGCTCGAGATTGCAAATGTTGGTTTCAAACACTTGCAGGCGTGTACACACACCCCCCAAAAGCCCTGAACATGGGGAGAGTGCAGGCTTGGCAGAAACATTTGCACAACCAATCTGCTGGGGGGTTGGAATCCATCCTTGAAAACTGAACCATGGCATTGGTGCCAAGAAATTTCCTGCTCAGCTCTTAGCTCCCACTCTTTGGTGCTGTGAGCATGCAGGGATGAAGGACTGAAAGGAATCCCAGCATCTTGCACTCCCAGAGGGACAACAGGCAGCCCTACAAGCTGCTGAGCCTTGGGAGGAAGAGTGTGGAGCAGCCAGAGCTCCCAGGGCAGGGAGTGACCTGGTCTAGCGGGTTGGAATGAGATGATCTTTAGGATCCCTTCCAACCAAACCATTCTCTAGGATGATCAGCAGAGCTGATGATGCTGAACTGGGCACTGCTTTGCCTCCAGCTCAGAAAAGCCATCCAAACCTCTCAGTCCTTGCTCAGCACTGGGCAAACCTTCATCTGTGCCTTCTTCTCAGCGCCAGCTCTGACAGATTCCCGTACCCACCCTGAACGGCAGCCCTCTCCCTCAGCCACGTCCAAACTGGATTTTGCTCTTTTCATGCTCAGACTGCAGCTAATTAAATCCAGGTCTGAGCAGGGCAGGGAAACATCTCCATGCTCCTGGACACAACCTTCTCTGTGCTTTTGGAAAGCCAAAAGCAATGGGATGGAGAGCAGAGCAAAAGGGGCAATGGTTCCAGCTCCTGCCTTTACTTGCCAAAAGTGGGTTGTTCTACAAGTGCTTTAATTCCATTCCAGCATGGAGAAACAACAGATCTAGCAGAGCAGGCCAGCTCCTGAGCCTGCCCACCAATCCAACCCCCTGTGCTGACCCACACACTCTTTGGCATGCACAAAATATTATAAAACCCCCTTTTAATAATTGCTTAAAAGCCCACCTGTGTCTCAACCATCTTCTAATGCTAATTTTCACCAGAAGAGGGACCAGTTCTGCCCTGGGCTACAACACAGGTGCGATTCCACAAGCAGGGAAACCCTCAAAGCTTTGCTTTGGATCCACTCAGAGATGCCAAACTAATCCCAGATCAACATGAAGTGAGCTGAGTGTAAATATGTTGCCTGCCTCTCTGTGCATACGCTACTTAATGGAGCATAAAAGGACAAGAATGGAATCATTTTTCAGATGCTGCTGGTAATAATAATAAATAATAATAATAAATGCAGGGGCATGTGCCAAATGTCTGAGATCTCAAGGAGAGGAACTTACTGCAAGCAGAAGAGGAGCCAGGTAGGTGCTCAAACTGAGATGCAAAAGTCAGTGAAGTAAAACCACCCTTAAATCAAACACTTTGTATCCTTGTCAAGTTCACTCAGGATTTAAGACCTCACTTTCAGAGTGGGATTTTTTTTTCTTTCCAAGATGCACCTCCTTTGACAACTACTCCCCATATGGGATTTATGGTCCCAGCTCTTCATGGTAACTTGGGATTGCATTTTTTCCCTGCTGCCCACAACCACATCACTCAAACCCTGCTGAACAGCACCAGTCATCACTGGAATTCTGGCAAAAAATCATTTTTCTATGTCATAGCAGCACAATATAAAGTTCATATCACCCGAACTTCACCTCCACAGGCCATATTTGCACTGATTTTTTGTTACTCTCCTTACAGTGCATGATTTGGGGTGAGCACTGCAGAGAGCCAAGCACGGATTTGCTGAGCTCAATCTGAACACTTCCACAGTCCTGGGTCCCAGTTCATGCATCCTTTATGTGGAAAAATCCAAAACAGCACTAAAAGACAGCTCAGAGAGAAGCAGTGCACGTGTGAAGGAGGAAAGCACTCCCCACCAGGGCGAAGAACATACTGAGTGAAGAAGGCAAGAACTGACACATCACTGCTGAAACTGTGATCATCTCACCCAAAAAAAGCAAACAGACCTGTGAGAGCAAAGGGAAACCCACAGAACTCACCCATCATTTTCATCCCACAGGATGCAGGTCTGGTTGGTGGTTCCCTGCCAGGAGACAAGAAAGGGAAAATAGAAACAAATCAGCATCATGCTGTTTGTGGAGTGTCTGGACTGGAATGAAGAATGTGGGGCCTGTAACACCCCTCCCTCCCACTGCTCTAAGGATGGGGTGTCTGGGATACACCAGATGAGCTGTCATGGATCTCAAATCCTTGGAATGGCTTTTGCCACCCTGGGATGGAAAAGCCAGAAAAATCCGAGCCTTGGTTTGTTCTGCATCACAACCACTGCAGAGGGATTTGATTCTGCCTCTCTCCTGACTCAACCTACGGATATTCCTCCTCATCCCTCCTCTCACACAGAATCCTTTTGCTGCTCCCTTCTGGAAAGTGGATCAAATACAGCCTCTGCTTCCGTGGGACAAAACCACAGCCCTGCAGGAGGGGGCCAGGTGTGTCTAAACCCCCTGGAAGAGGTTTGCCTCTGACCCCAGCTGTCTGAGACAGCTTTGGAAAATCCCTCCAGGAGAGTCCAAAGACACAACAGATCTTAATATTCATGTTGTAGAGCCTCAGGAGGGCATCTAATCTCCACAGGGACAGGCCCTGGGGTATGTAAATGTCCATGCCAGAAATCTGCTTAGGGTTGAGCAGAGGAACCTGAAGGGGATTTTTGCCTGCCTTGGAAAGCATTGAGGACAACAGTAATATTCCAGAATTAATGGGAACAACCTTTCCCTCTGCCTTTCCCTCCTCAAGGAAGACCACTGTTACACTGAGTTATTTTAATGAGTGCACAGTTATTCCCGTGTGATGATGCCCACAGTGAAATGCTGCGAACTGGGGACAAGCATGGCCCTGTGCCAGCAGTGTCACCCTCCTGCTGCTCTGGAAATGAAGTTGTTTTTTGATTTTGGGGAAGATTGAAGGGTCCTGCACCAGCAAAAAGATGTCAGGAGCCCATCAAAACCACCTCCTTCCTTGCACCACCACATTCCTGCCCCAGAGAAGCAAACACAGCAGGTTCCCAGGAACCACTTACGTTGTACAGGTGGGAGAATTCAATTTCCAGAGGGGTGAGGAGAGACCGGGGGAATGGCTTCACAGTCACAGAGATGACTTTGGAGTTCAGAACGGTGCTATTCCTGGGGAGGAGAGGGGAAAGAGAGGTTTTAGAGGGATTTTTGTGGAGCAGGGAATCCCATGACAATCATCACTGTCGCTGCAAGGTTTGGTGTACACAGAGCAGAAGGGGATGACCCCATCATTACAAAATACCCCCAAAGACATTTGCTGCTGCATCCTCTGCCCTCTGGGCTCCCCTCACAGCCAATCCACATGTATCCCTCCAAAATCAAAACATTTTATGAACCTCATCAACACCTAAAAGAAACTGGACCTGGGGTCTGTATCTATCCCAGAAACAAAACATTCCTGGGCTCATTTTCTGTCCCTGCCACGAGAAAACAGAGCTCATTTGGACTACAGTAAGCCTTGTAGGTCCCTTCCAGCACAGAATATTCCATGATTTCATGAGTTTTCCAAAAAAAAAATCCCGTTTTGCCTCTCCAAGGCTGGCATAGCCTGCACTGCAGTGAGGCTGAGGCATGATTGCTTATCCATGGGGCAGCAGACGATCCTGGCTGGAGGCACTGGTGTGTATCTTCATTCCCTGAGGACCAAAAACAAATGGAAAAAGGCCAAACCTTTCATGTAGATGCCTAAATGTCTGTGCCCAGACAAATATTGTAATAAATCTGGTAGCCCTGGGAGATTTGGCCCTTGGGAGGGGCAATAAGTGAGGAGATAACTCCCATTCCTAGAAAGCCAAACTCTTTGTAGGCACTTCCCTGGACACTGAACGTGTGAATAACAGGGTTTCCTCATTTTTCTGCAGTTTATTGGTATTTAAATAAGCTAAAGGTTCTCACAAGCAGCAGCTGAAGCTGCTGCCATGAGGGAATTGGTAGTGGAGTGGTGGATCCAGATCAGGCTGCTCCCAGCCCCTGTGGCATCCATGGAGAAAGGAAATCCTTCCTTATCCAAATCTTCACCAAATCTGCAGGTACTGCTGAAATCTTTCAGTCTTCTCTCTGGATTTTATTTTTCTTATTAAAAAAAAATAATTAGGAGGGAAAGATTTATACTTGCTTAACAGCAGCTAAACGAAAATAGGGTTCAAAGAAAAAAAAAAAAAAAAAGAGGAAAAAATATTTGGAATTGTGCATGGATGTGTAAGTGGATGCTCAAAAAGTCACTGTTCCACCAACACTAGAGGGAACAACAACACTGATTTAACAGGGGAAGAAAAAAAATCAAAAATATATTTTTTCCTTTTAAAAAAAACCTAAACAATAAGAAAAAAAAAAAGAATGAAGCGGCAAAGCTCAACTATCACCCTACAGAGGAAAAGTAAAGGAGTAAATCAATGGGAGTAGGCAGCTGTAAGAAGCTAAAAATGGGACCTGCTGAAAGGTAACCACCAGTGCATGTCTTCATTAGAGGCTGTGTCTGTAAGGGTCAGTCCTTGGGTCAGTGCTGCTGAATATTCGCATGAGCAGCAGGGATGACACCAAAACCTCCCTGTGGAGGCTGGGGAGCAGGTGAGAATCGATGCAGCAACCACAGACAGAAAGAGAATTTGATTTTTCAGCATGGCAAGATGTTGGAACACAGAAACCAGCGGTGTGCAGACCTCAAAGGGTGATCAGTGGGCAAGAAGCCGCAGCTCAACCAGAAGTTGAAGAGGGGAGCTTATAAAAAAATGGAGAGCAACTTTTTACATGGGTAAATAATGATAGCACAGGGGGGAATGGTTTTAAACTGCAAGAAGAGAGGTCTAGATTAAATGTTGGGAGGAAATTCTTTGCTCAGATGTTGGTGGCACAGGTTGCCCAGAGAAGCTCTGGCTGCCCCATTCCCTGGAATTGTCCAAAGCCAGGTTGGATGGGGCTTGGAGCAGCCTGGGATAGTGGAAGGTGTTCCTGACCATGGCAGGGGAGTGGAACGGGATGATTTTTAAGATCCCTTCCTCTGAGATGAAGCAAAGAACTTCTGTCTGTGTCCTCCTTGTGTGGTTTCCACTGTGCTGTTGGGTTCAGTTTCAATTTGAGAGGGAGAAACAGCAAAGGGAGCTCAAAACAGAGACACAAAATTGATCCAAGTGCAGGAAAACAAACAAAATTTCTCTGTTGGAAGGCTTTTCTGGGAGCTCCTTGCACGAGGGGGGCTTTTCAGTCACCCATCCAAAGGCCAAATGCCTGGAAGTGAAAGTCAGACAAATTCAGCCTTAAAAAGAGAGGCAGGCTCCTGGCAGAGAAGGTAATTAAGCAGCAGCTTGTTGGGGGCGGCGAAGGACTCGGTGTCACGGGGAATCTTTCAGGAGGAAGAAAGACGAGTCGCTTTCCTACGAGCACATTGCAGCCCAGCTTCTGGGAATAAAACAAAACACGTGGAGATCTGTCTCGAGCAGGAGTCCAGAGGAGCTCAGAGGGCTCCTGAGTGTCCAGTGAGGGTGTGCAGAGAGCTGTGACCACGGGCTACACGGGGAGAGCCAGGCTGGCAGCTCTGTGCTGTGTCCTCTGCAGCACAACCCCGCTGGGACCGAGCGCCTCCGTCACCTCCCTGGCTTGGAAAATCAGGTTGTGTGTGCAGCCCATCCCAACTGTCACAGCTGCCAAGATCCGCTGGGCTCTCTGGATCCGAGGGGACAGAGAAATGTGTGACTCAGAGACAGAATTGCTGCTTGGGGGAGGTAAATTGGGACAATTAGGAACAGCTCAGCTGGTGCAGTTTGCTGAGTTAAATCTACTTCTTTTTTTCCCCCTTCTTAGAAGAATCACTCTGCATTGAATCAGAGTGGTCCAATCCAGGGTGTGGGTCTGTGTTTCTTATGTGTAGCCAGGAATAGCTGCTCTCCTCAGTGGTCAGAAATATTTTTTACCCATAGCCAGCTACGTGGTTATTTCACAACGTTCTCCTCTTTAGTGCTGTGTCCATTTGCACGGCGCTGAAGTAAGAGCTGTTTTACTGCTGCTGCTGCTTTCATTAATATATTTTTTTTTTTTTCTTTGACTCTCCACAGGTGATTCAAGACTCGAGATTTTTTTTTTTAAAGAGGGACTGTCCTTTAATTAAGGAACATCTTAAATCAGCTCTCCTGCGGGAACGCTGCTCGGAGGCTGTGGCTGCCGCAGCTGCTGGTTATCAGAGCTCATTCCCTGCTTGGCCAGAGGAAGCTGAAATACCACTGGATCATTTGAGCCAATGATGTTTATTGCCCTTCTGATCTAATTCCCACTGCTGTAATGGAAGATATTACAGAATACAGTTGGCTGACTTGCTAATTCCTCTCTGCACTCACTCGGAGCTCTTTTGCCATTGCCAGTGCTAAATCTGGAGGTATTTAAATGATTATCGGTGAGGAGAGATGCCCTGGTGTTTATGGTAAATGGGCTCACGCTAATCAGTGCAGAACAGATTTAGAAGGTGCCTTAGGATGCTTAATTTACTGCCTCAGTACCAGTCTTGGGGAGGAAAAAAATAAAAAATAGAGAGGAAAAGGGAGAGGAGCGAAGGAAAGGGAAGAGAGCGCTGAACACAAAAGCTTTGGTGCCCGAGGCAGTTTGCAGTGCTGGGAACACGGCAGACATGTGCAGCCAGGCGTGCTCTGCTCCCCTCTCTCCTCCCTGAGCCTGTCTTCTGCCGTGCCGCTCTCCAGGGCTCAGTGTGGCTGGCAGCTCTCCGGCAGCTCGGGAAGATCGGGGCAGCTGAGCATCCCCATCTGTCAGGGCCGCCAAAATCCCTCCTGATCAGGAGGGCAGGGTGGGGTTCCATTCCTGGGTGGCAGGGAAGTATGGGACAGCAGCACTGAGCTTCCTCCCCTCCACGTGTCTGCACGTGGATGGGGAAAACATTCCTGCACCTCCGGCACGGGATGCATGAGCCTGGCCCCACCTGAACACGGGGGTCAAAATATTCCCACTGCAGGTCAGAATCTGTCTCGTCGCACCCAGTGAGCTCTATTTTTCCCTGTACCAGTGCTCTGCAGCCAGAGGGATCATCCTGGTGATTCCCCAGCTGCTCCCCATCCAGGAAGCCCCTCTTACCTCTGCAGGGAGAGGATGTTGCCCACATTGCGGTACAGCACGGTCCCAACCACGAAGACGGAGGAGTCGTCTGACACTGCAGGACAGCAGAGGAGGGGGAAGGAGACAACAGCACTGAGACAATCAGGGTGGCAGCTGTCCCCACGGGACACCCAGGGGCAGGATTTGGGCTCTGGAGGAGAGTGGCCAGTGGTGGAGGGCTCTCTTTGGGGCATGGCCAATGCCAACATCATTGCAGTGGGATGCAGCGGCTGCTGACACTACAGGGAGGGCTCAGCTCCTTTGGAGTGATCCAGCATATCAGATTTCTGCCCTCACCAAGTCTCACCCCTCCAAAAATGATGCCACCCCATTCAGAAACCCCCAAATTCCTCTGACAGCACCACAGCAGACAAATCTGCAGGGGGGAAAGGTCTCTTGCAGCCACCTTGAGGCCTTTGGAGCCATCCACAGCTATCAGGCCATCAGAGAGAAGAGCTGTGCCGGGGCCGACAAGGCCAGCGGGAAGGGGAGAGGTCCCAGTGCGCCTGCTCTGACCCCAAAACTGATGTGCTGCCTCTGGGGGCTGCAGCAGATCCAGATGAGCCTCTGAATCATCTGTGTGACCTCTGGGCATGTCACTTGACCTCCTTCTCCTCCTATTCTTCCTCCTCCGCTACCTCACGGGGCCCAGCTGCAAAAAGCCAGAACTTCCCCTGATAAACCACGAGCAGCAGAGGCAGCCCCGGGGCTGGATTTTCATGGGGGGAGCAAAAGCAAGGGGCTGAGTGGAAAGAAAAGCTGAAGAAGCCTGGGAAAGCACCAGGTGGGGCTTCTCTGGTATCTTGTACTGAGCTTGAGCTGACAGTGTGTCTGCTCCATCACTGCAGGACAGGCACAGCTCTGCATGTCCGTCTTTCTCATCGTCAAATTGGGATAGCTGGTGAGCACATAACAGGGAGAGACTGACAGACAGGCTTGCAGAGCAGTTTTGTCACCCAGCTGCATGAATCAGTGTTGGCCCATCGAAATCAACTGTTCAAAGTCAGCTCCCAGCAGTGAGGGGGTTTGGATTTGGTCTCACAAAGCTGACTGTCTTCAATACACTTTGTTCAGGAAAGCTACTCCTGTTCCCAGAGAAAAGTGAGGATCAAAACTAATGGAGGTGGATTTCTGCTGGAGTAACTGAGTAACCTCTCAAAAACTACACCACCAGCACAAGACACTGAATGAAACAGAGGCAGACAAGCCCTGGGTGGTCCTCAGAAAACCCTGGAGAGGTGAGCACTGACTGGAAGTTGTTTCCTCGGGGAGGATGTCATGTTTTGTTTGCTCAGTCACTACAGCTCAGGGGCCCTGGCGCAGATCTGTGTGAGGATGCTTCCAACAGGAATCTAGAAAACAGCTCCAGGGGGAGCTGGATACTTTTGGGACAGCCCTCAGCCTCAGAGCAGGATCAGCTCTGTCTAGGTCTGGTCCAACAGTTTTTCCAACAAGTGATTAAAGATTTCGAAAGGTGAAGGCACCACCAAACAAGCAGGGATAACGCTCCCAACGTGCTCCAGCTTCTCCCAGGGAGCTCACACTCTCTGCAAGCCACAACAAAGCACAAGGAGAGCTTGACATGGTCCTTGCTTTGCCAGTGACTCACTGTTTACCCTTGGGGGTGGCACTTGACTGTTCCTGGCCTCAGATTTCCCAAGCTGAAGTGATGGCTGATGCCATCCCTGGCAGGGAGGCCCATGGTAAAAGGTCCTGGTGTGTCAACTCGAGGTCAAAGGTCTTTTGTAGCAACAACTCAGTCTCCAGCCTCTGTCCCAAGGAAGGGGGAGCCAGCAGCTCTCAAAACCACGAGTGACAAAAGCAAATCCCATCAGCTCCCAGCAACCAGCCCAATTCAGGGTCCTGCTTTTGGGAACTCAGGGATCAATCCTTCCAAATGTTCTCTGCCAAAAGATGAGCAGAGAGTGTTGGTTCCAGGGAGTCTCATCCATGGGACCATCCCAGAAACCTCCAGGTGTTTTTCCAGATCTGGCAGTGAGGCCAGCTTGGTTGAGGCATCACCTCAATGCCCTGATGTGGAGCCTCAGTGATAAATGCCTCTGAATTTCATTTCTGGGGGCAGGAAATTTCACACAAGGGCCATAAATCCCCAGATCTGTCAAAGCTTGTCCAAGCAGCAGAGGTAGAGCCATCAGCTGCTCAGCCTGAGCTGCTGACTCCCAGCTATTCACCCTCAGATGGCTCCATCAGGTCTGGATCCAGGCTTGGAGGGCACCTAAAGCATTGTTTGCCAACTTTTCCTGCTTCTTTAGGGAAAGATAAGCATCCACACCCAGGTACTGAACCTGCCCCTGAACTTTCGTGAGGAGTTTAGTTTGAACTCTTAGCCAGGCCATATTTAAAAGCCTTATTTGCACTCATCAGTGCTGTTTGATGCCCAAACATTTGTGAGCAAATCCAGCTGATCTGCAAGAGGATTTGAAGGCCAGGCAAACAGAAGGAAACATTCTTAGAAAATCAAGGGAAAAAATTGTGTTGGCTGTGCTGCCTACCTGAGAGCCCTGAAGAGAGGATGCTCTTGGAGACAGTGACCTTGTCCTCTGAGTTCTTGGCCCAGTCCACCATTCCCCTCCAGCCTTTCATGGGGAAGGTGATGTCTGTTGCTGCATTTGCAGGCAGTTTGTGAATACCAAGGACTGGGGAGAAGCGAGAAATAAAACCAATAAGTGAAACCAGTTTCAGTAAATTCCACATTTGCTCCAGAAAACATGGGGAGCATTAGTGGGAAATCAGAGAGATTGGATCTTGGGAGCCACTGGAGTGAGGCTCTCTTGAGGAAATGTCTGTTCATGAAAGAAGACACAAGGGCTTGTGCTGTGCTGAAAGGGTCCTGCCTGCATTAAATCTGCCAGAGGACAGTCTACTCCAGCACCTTAGCTCCAGGAGTGGCCAGCAGCAGCTGATAAGAAGTGTGAGAAAGAACAAGACATCTCTTGGTTTGTCCTCCCAGTAATCAGCAGGATTTCCTCAGCTCCTGGCTGCATCCAGATCATCAACTTCAACAGGCACCAATGGACCTCTCTTCTGTGCACTTCCCTAATCCCATCATGAACCCATCTGTACTTTTTGGCTTCTACAACGTCCTCTGGCAACAAGTTCCACGCTGCGGTTGTGCACACAGCATCAGTCAAACACTGCCTGCTGTTTGCCCGCCGCCTCCATTGGCTGCTGGGCTGTTCTTGTGCTCAAAAATAAAAGAAAGAGTCTAATTCTTCCCAGTTTGTCATCTGTTCTCCATTTGGTAGGTATCTCTCAGATCTCTCTGTGGATATCTCTTCATCCTCATGAAATCCCAACTTCTCTTGAGAAAAGCCACCCTGTATTTATGCCCGCCCATGTCTTCCCTCAGACCTTTTAATGTCCCACCACCTGCTGCCTCTCCGCCTTCCTCCCCATCCCCACAGCCCAGGCTGTCCACATTGCACGGTAATTAACAGCTTTTGGGGGTCTCTCCCCGAAGTGGGGAGGGTCAGAACTCACCCAGATTGTCTGTGACTTGGTAGGAATCCCGGAAATCTTTCATGCGGAAGCCGATGACATCAATGAAATCCTCCACGAGCCTGAACAGCTCCTTGGCGTTTGGCCCTATCTGCAAAGAGAGGAGGAGTTTTGGGTGGATCAGATCCTGAGAACAGCAGGAGCTTCTCTGTGGGAAAAGGTTTCTGCCCTCACACCTGAACTGGGAGCATATGCTGGCTATAATGGACTGTTGTGGAGCTGTGGAGGAGGAAGCCAAGAAAAAGAATGAGAAAGGGAAAGGAAAAGGAAAAGGAGAAAAAGGAGAAAAAGAAGAAAAAGAAAAATAAAAATGAGAAAAAGAAGAAAAAGAAAAAGGAGAAAAAGAAGAAAAATAAGAAAAAGAGAAAAAGAAAAAGAAAAAGAAAAAGAAAAAGAAAAAGAAAAAGAAAAAGAAAAAGAAAAAGAAAAAGAAAAAGAAAAAGAAAAAGAAAAAGAAAAAGAAAAAGAAAAAGAAAAAGAAAAAAAATGATAATGTGACACTCAGATTGGTAGAATTTAGGGTGGAGGGCAAATGGAAATATTAAAGACTCTCTGGAGAAGAGAATAACCTACCCATCTTCTTTCATAAAATCATAGAAATGCAGAATGATGTGGATTGGAAGGGACCTTAAAGATCATCTCATTCCAACTCCCTCTGTTGAAAGCAACTACACCAAAGGACAGTTGTGGTCTAATGCTGAATCCCAGCCAGCCTGATTTTCTCCTTTCCTGTTTTGTTGTCAGATCTCTCCCTTGAAACATCAAGTCCTTGGTCCCGGGTTGTCCTGGAGTTTCTCTGCCTTTTATTTCTTTCCTGTTTTTTCCCCATTGATAAAGACATTGGCATTGACTCTTCTTTACCTGTACTTCGCCATCTTAAGACTGGGCCATTAAACAATAACCAGTTTTCCAGGGACAGATTCCATGAACTATAATCCACTTGGAAACAAGCCGTGATGTCTTCCTGTCTTCTCCTCAAAGCACGTTTGCCCACAGGGGCTTTGCAAATGCCATGAAAGGCTGAAGAAGAGCACTTCAGCTCCTCTTCTTTTCCTTCTCCACCACTTCCACAGCGTTTTCCCTTCCTCACCATTATCCAGACATGGATCTGGGGTGGCTGAGTGATCTGGAGGGACAGCTGGGGACAAGCAGGAGAGGAAGGGGGCAGGAGGAAGGCTGAGCCTTGGAGAGCGTGGGCAAGGAGCACAGGGTGGCCATGTGTGTCTCTCTCTCTGCCTATCCAAGGAATCTTGATGAGACTAAAACGGTCTCAGGATGAGATTAAAAAGTCCTGCCAGTACAGCAGGTGTGCACAGAAGGAGGAGAACTGAGTGAGGATGCTATTTTTAGCTGCACACTTTTATATTCCATTACAGATTGAAATCACAAGGTCAAACCAAATCCAGGCTACACTGGATGCTGTATTTTAGGTTTTATCACATAATGGTTGACAAAGGCTCTTCAAAAATCATTGCAGCCCTTCTCTTAATACCTTTATGGGTTGTTTTAGTTTTCATTTTCCTTGAACAACATCTTTCTGCCTCAGGGGCCACAGGACATTGGAATGTGAGACTGCAATGAAGTTGGGTTTATTTTTAATGAGCAAATTGGGAGCCAAAGGCTTTGTTCTAAAAGAAATGGTTGATCTCACAAAATTCAAGGTGTGATTTTGGTCCAGCAGCTTCGAGGGAGAAGCACAGAGACTGCTAAAACCTCCGCTGGCATCCTGTTCACAGAGATTTCTGTGTCCTAAAGTCGTGGTGCTGGGCTGTCATCTCAATTCCCACTGGAATACACACCAGGAAAACATTCTCCCCGTGATGTTCCCAATCCACATGTAGGTCACGGTGACGCTGGGCTGTGCCTGCCTGGAGGTGCAGGGAGCAGACTGCAGTGGGAAAGCCACTGGGAACCAAGGGCCACACAGAGTGAGCTGTTTTTACGGGGATCAACAGGGTTTCCCTGTTGCCATGACAACCTGAGTCTCCTCTGCTCCGTGCTGAAATACCTACATGCACCTGGAGGCTTGAGACCAAGTATTTGGGCAGAAAATCACAGAATCAGTGTGTAGTTAAATTTGGAAGGAGCCTCTGAGGCCATCTGGCTCAACAAGCAGGGCCACCTTGCCAGGACCATGATCAGAGACAGACCCTGAAACCCTCATCCAAATTCAACAGGAAAGCACAAGATATCAGGGAGGAGAGGAGAAGGAGAAGGAGAAGGAGAAGGAGAAGGAGAAGGAGAAGGAGAAGGAGAAGGAGAAGGAGAAGGAGAAGGAGAAGGAGAAGGAGAAGGAGAAGGAGAAGGAGAAGGAGGGCTGCTCATCTGACAGAATTGCTGTTGCATGAAGGAAATATTTTTGAGTCCCTGTCTCATGTTCCGGACTTTCAAAAAATGTTCCAGCACTTTTTAAAAGGTTTTCCCTGAGGACTTCACCAGTTGGTGTGAAGATAACTGGACTCTGGTGTTGCTTTGCATGTTGAGTGATTTTTTTTTTTCTTGGTTATTTGCTGTTTCCAAATCTTTTGGTGGAATTTTGCAAGAGCAACAGCTCACAAAAGGAATGGTAAAGGGACACAGGAATAGGTGTGACACAACTCCACAACAGAGAGAGCACACAAGACAAGGGACAAATAATACACAGAAAGAAAAAGCAACAACGCCGTCCCCCAGAACTTGAGAATTCAACTACAGAATTATTAATAGAATCTTAGAATGGCCTGGGTTGGAAGGGACTTTTAAGTTCATCTAATTCCTAACTCTTGCCATGGGCAAGGACACTTTCCACTTCTTGCTCAAAGCCCCATCCAACCTGGCTTTGAACACTTCCAGGAAAGAGGAGTTCAGGACTGAGCAGGATCCCTAACCTGGACAGGAGAGAAATAAAGCAAAACATAACTGAACCCAGGAGCTCAGCTGAGCAGACCACAGCTCTGAAAATCTCTCCTGTCCTGCATCACTTCAGACAGGAACTCAAAGCCATGTGATCCTACTTCTTTATCTTGGCAAGAGGAAAGAGTTGAATTAAAGGAAGACATCACGATTATCAACTCCAAACCAAGGCTGACCCCTGAAATCCATCCCAAATTTGGTTTACACCACCAGCATTTCACTGTCCTTCATGCAGAGAGTTTGGCTCAGAGCTGGGATCCTGTGGCTCCCTGAGTGACTCCTTTAATGTGACTCAGCCTGGAACTAAGCTCTTCTCAGGAGCTCATGTAGACATTTGGAAATTCCCCTCCTCATGGCTTAACCCTGTGCCCACAGCCTCTTTATTCCCAGGGAAGGTGCTGAAGGTTCATACCAGCTGAGCTTCCTCCCATTTTTCCCGGTTTTCCTCTGACAAAATGTTGCTGATGATCTGGACGAAGTTCTGGAGAAGGGAGACAGGAGAGGACAGAAGAGGTTGTTATGAAACATTGTCCAGGCTGGGAAGGTCACAGTGGTGTGGGAGGGACACGTGAGATCTAAACATGCTCCAAAAGCATTCTCATGATCCCATTCCCAAAAGGTTCCAGAGCATTTCACAGGTGCCCAAGGATGTTAATGGCAAAATGGGTTTTAATAAGACCTCTTTCCCACACTTTAACTACTGCATCTTTAAGGCACTGGATTGGGAATAGGTCTTGTATCCACTCCTGATGATTTTTAAGGACAGATATGGTAAATATTTGTCAGAAACTGGTTAAAAGCAGGTGATCTTCCATTGTATAAATCCTCCCATATCTTTTTTTCTATTATTTCTGTTGTTTCCAATATATGGATCCCTCAGGATCCCCTTTAGCTTGTGACCAGGCAGGAGATGCAGAGATGGATCGAGAGGGTGCTGTCCATGGTAAGACCTTTGCAGCACACGATGAGGAGGAAGGAGACAGGAAATTTCAGACTATTGATTTTTTTCTCCAGTTTTACCACTCTCTGCAGATCCTGCAGGATCAGTTTAATGTTTCAAGTCATGAGGTGATGACCCATCCCAAGGGTGTATCCTGTGGCTGCTCTGCAGCTGCTGGAAGTAAAACCCTGGGATAAGAAACCACGGTGATATTCCCCTACATCAACACCCAGGTACCCAATGCCACAGGATTGTTTTACCTCGAGTCATTAGCCTGAAATCCCCACCAAATAATGTTCTCATATCAATTAGGCTCTACAGTGAAGTGCTATCAGGTTGAAATAGTCCAGAGTGACCTTGGCTTTCAAGTTCTTAATTTATAAACCAAGGAAGAACCACCTCGAGAGGCGAGTTTGTTAATACAGAAAGACATGTTGGGAAAAAATAATAATCTGGTTTTCATCAGCACTGTATCAGCTACAATCAGTATCAGTAACCAAAACTGGAGCCCTGAGCATGGGCACCTCTCTAAACACAGCCTTGGGCTCCAGGAAATGCCCCTGGGCTCACCTGCACATCCCCAGAAGTTGGGCTGTGATAAGCCCTACGGAAGATCTCTGTCATGTTCCTGAGTACGTCCATGGTGGACAGCAGGTCCCCACTGTAGCTGGTCCCATCCTGGGAGATTTCCACAAGGTTCTGGAGCACATCTGACAGCCCGTCTCCCATCAGCCCACGCTGAGCTTTGGCAAGGTGTTCCCTGGTCTGAGAAACAGAAAAGAAATGTGGGAAACGCTTCTAGGGACAGTCAAAGTCGAGTTAATGAGTTCAGTGAAGGAGCTGCCAGGGAAGGTTTTTGACCTCACTCACAATTCAGAGTGCAAATCAGATGAATCTGACAATCTTTGCTGACCTGAGAGCCTCTGATATTTTTTTAAATGATAGAAAAGAGTGATAGATTCTAAATTGTCTTCAAAATGGTTCTAAAATGACAGAGATACCATCAACAGCAGAGGTCAGTTCTCCTAAAGACCACAGGAGACCAGCAGAAATTGCTCATAACAATTAATTTAACAGAAATAAGATGCTTATTTAAAAGTGATAGCGATATTTAATGATAATGTGATATGAAAAGCCTAGAGGAAGCCAGATTCTGCCAAGCTGGACATTAAAATATCCTGAAAGGAACCACTCTTTGCCCATGGAGTGCCTGTGCATCACAAGGTAAGCAGAGAGAACAGTGAGAGAAAATCAAGGCAGAGCTGGAAACTCCTTTTTTTTTTTTTTTTCCTTCTCTTTTTGTAACTATAACCACATAACAATTGCTGGGGAGGATCCCAAACCTGCTGAGCTGAGCAGTGGGGCTGCCTTACCATCATCTGTATGTTCCTGTAATCAATAGAAACACACTTGATGTATGTTGGAGGCTCCCAGTAAGCGATGCCTTCCTCATCTAAGATGCATCTTCGAAGGATCAGCCCTGGAAGGATGAAAGAAACAAACACGAGAGTGAGGACAGGATGAAAGGCCAAGCATTCATGGGGACTGGGCTTTTGTCATGAGTAGGAAGTCATGGGATAAGAGGACATGGCTTTGAGTTGTGCCAGGGAAGGTTTGGAATGGATATGAAGGAAAAATTCTTCACTGAAAGGGTGGTCAAGCATCAGGACAAGCTGACCAGAGAAGTGATGGAATCATCATCCATAGAAGTGTTCAAAATACGTGTGGATGTGGCATTGAGGGCATGATTTAGTGGTGGGCCTGGAAGTGCTGGGTTAATGGTTGGACCTGAGGATTTTAGAGGCCTTTCCAACCTTCCTGATTCTATGGAGATCACCCAGAACTGGTCAGTGCACCACTCCAGACTCAGCTACCAGCACAAAGGGCATCAGAGGCACATGCAGATGCCTGAAGAAGCCCAAAGAAGAGATTATCTTTATTTCCTTCTCCTGCCTTTTATTATTGCAGAGCAGCAGAAGGAACCGGGCAGGAAAAGAAAAATTAACAAATTGGACATGGCTACTCAGGGTGAAGGGAAGGTTCCTTCTCCTGCCTCGGATGGCAGCATTTTCCCTGGCTTGGGAAGCCCCACGAGCCTCCCCAGGTGGTTTGGTCTGGTACTTGCAGCTGAAGCAGGGCTTGTGCTGCCCACGCAGCCTGGAGGGGAATAAACAGCCAACAGCACCAGTTCTGCATCAGCTGAAACTCTCTGAAAGCTGCTTCCAGTCCTCCTCCAGGCCTCCCCTCAGCTCCAATCCACAGAGGGGTTTGCAGTGATAATCACATGCCTTGTGATGTGGGGGAACATCAGAGATGTTCAGAGAACAGACATATCAGGGAGGAGGAAAGGGAGAGGGATCACCCTGTCCCAGCCATCATGATGCCACTTGGAAAGTCTCTGAGGATCAGGTTTGCTGGGTCTGCAGTCCCATTGCTGCTGCCAAACGATTCGGTGACCTTTCTTTGGACACAGCCCTTCTAGGGCAGCATTGGGGTGATGCTGACTGTGCCAGGCTGTCTGTATCCCACACACAAAATAAAACCTTTACACATCATTGACACTGCTGCCACTAGCTCTGTTCCTGCCTGGCAGGGAGGAACACCCAGCTGAGGACAAATCCCACCACCAGCATTGCTTCTGGAGCCTTCTCTGCACCGCCTTCCACTCCCTTAGGGAACAGTAGGTAACACCATGTCCTTTCAGTTTACACCAGAACGATCAGACCATCAATTTGACAGCTCAAAGGCATTTTTAGAGAGGTGCTAAGGTTTCTAAGTGGACAACAGAATTCATATTTCCTGCTCTCATACAGCAGCTGCTTTTATGGCCACTGGAGAGAACTACAACACTCAAATCCAGAGGCCTCTAAAGGTCTACCTGCTCTGCAAAGCTCTTTGTAGATAATGGAGAGAACATATCCCAGCGTTCCTTAATTTCAAATTTTTCACAGGACCAGGCAGTGGATGGATGGAAACCACCTCAGATTATCCAGTAACAACTAAGAGATTTCTGCTTAACAGTGAAAACAGAAAGCCAGACAGAGTAAATTTATCCATGGACAAAGGGAAGGAAGTCCATGTGCCTGTCCTGTCATCCCACAAGCAGGTTCTCCTCGTCTAGGACACAAAGGATGAAGGATCCCCTGATGTGGGACCACCTCCCCACCACACAGTCACTCTTACCAGTGGCATTACGGGGGCACCGGACAGCTGCAGCATCCCCGGCTGGCGTCTCCTTCCAAACCACGGGGCCAAGACTCTCCTCGTCACAGATTTCATGGGGCTCTGCCAGGAGAGAAAAACTCCGTTTGGTAAAGCTTCCTCCTCAGCAAGGACGTGGAAAAGGGATGTATGGGAGCGTGGTCTGTGAGGCAGCAGGCCTGGAGCTGCACTCCCAGCGTTTCATCCCTCACAGAGTCACTTCACCTCTCTGTAATTCGCTCTGCCTCTCTGAAAACTGGGCATTCATCCACTCCGAGGATTAGCTCACTAAAATCCATGGGAAAGTCCACTCACATCCTTGCCTTGCCTTGTGGCAGCTCTTTGCAAGAAAACTGCTGCTGCTACCCTCTAGTAAAGAGTTTTATTTCTTAATTTTTAATGGGCAGATCTTTTGTGGGTGAACTCCATGGCTCCAGACTCCGCCTCTTCCATCCCTCAGGGTCACCACCTTCAGTGTTGGATGTATCTAAAATGAGGCTGGGCATGAATCAGTGGATTAAGAATGAAGGAAAGAACAAGAAAGTGGAGAGACAAGATGGACACATCCCCTGGGTTGTCTTTATTCTGCCTGATTCCATCTTGTGCACAAAAGAGAGTATATCTGAGCCCCAAACAACTTGGAACTGCATCAGCAGCTCATTTCTAAACACTGCTGCAGAGCCCAGGAGCCTGCAGAAATGTGTTTTGAGACATCACAGAAAAAAAAAAAATCATTGGAAGGATGGTTTTGGAAGCTTCTGTCTGTGGGTGGAACTGAGTCGGTCCTGGAGTTGGTGGGATCTGGGAGAAAAACATTCACCATGGGAGATCTTTGTGCTGAGAAACTCATTATTTACAACATGCAAAGCATGAGGATGGTGTTAAAGCTATTTGTCACTCCTGAGGGAGGGAAGGAGAAAAAAACTTGATTTAATAGTTTTTGATTACAGTTTTTATTCATTGTGCATGCAGAATTTCCAATCAAAAGGAAGCTGAGCTTGTGCCTGCAGCTGGCCAGGACATGTCCCGCTGCTGCTCTGGGACTACCCAGGGACCAGCCTGGCTGTGGGGAGGGCTCAGATTTAAATTATGGGCATGGCAAGTCCTGCTGCTTTGAAGAACTCCTGCAAGACCCAACAAGCTGCCTGCACTCCACTGCTCCTGCAGGCAGGCTCCAAGAGTGTGTGGCCCCAGCCCCAGCTGCAGTTCAAAGATGGATTCCTCCCCAGCAGACACGGGGAATGAATAAGCTGAATTCTCTGCCTGGAAACAGATGCTCCTTCCCTTGGTTTAAAGCTCCCTTGTGAGTAATCGCTCTTGTGATGGAACCCTGGAGGGCAGCAGGGCTCCAGCTGTGCTCTGCACATGAGCAGGACTCATCCCTGAGCCAACAGCTCGTGGCTTCTGCAGATAAGCCAGAACAGGGGTGGAAAAGAAGCAGTTTAATTTTCAGCCTGCTGACATGGAGCTGAAGGGCAGGGAGATGGAATAACCCAGTTGTGACAGCACTTGGACACCCACAGAGCCTGTCCCAGAGCAGGGAGCTGATTTCCAAACTCTTGTCCCCCTGCTTTGACCACTGCCACAGATTGTCCCATGGTTCACAGGAGGGTTCTGGGGTGTGGAAACTTCCAGCACCATCGGCTACAAAGCAGCAGAGCACAGGGAAAAGCAGAGGGGGAGTGTTCACATCTCTCCTCCCCTTTCTCCCCCGCTGGCCTGTCAAAACTTCCTGGTCTCAACACCCCTGCAGTGTCCCTGGGGACCACTGAGGGATGCTGTAGATCAGAGATGCTCTTTAAAAATACACTGATTGGAGTTGTCTTGCCAGTGAGCGCAGGAGCAATTCCCAGGCCAGGAGAGAATCATTTCATCCTTTCCTTTTTTCTTCCTTTTTTTTTCTTTTTGATGTTGCTTCACAACAAAATCCCTTTTACCAGAGCAACCTATTTGCACTGGGAGATTTTAATAACTAACCCAATTAAGTTCAATTCTTCTGCTCAAATCAAATCACGCCAGCATTTGATACTTTCTGGAGAACAAATTGAGCGGGTTTATTTTTAGCCTCTGATGTTTCCCCACCTTTTCCTTCCCTTGCAAATTAACAACTGCAGCGAGACCCTTCTGGCTGTGAACCCTGGCAGGCCCCAGTGCCTGAGACTTGCCTTTTCCTTTGGAGCACTGCACAGGCATCAACCCCTGCGGAAAGAGAAGAAAGGATCGGGCTTGTTCTGCCAGGGCCCCAGCTGGCACACGCTGAAGCTGAACTAAATCCGCCTCACTCTGTAGACACCACCAGACAACCCGGTGCTAAGATTTTCTGTGGCGAGGGAGAGCTTTGTGGCAGAGCTAGAAGAGATTCTCGCACGCCACTGCTAATTGAGAGGCACAGCTTGTGAGGAGAGGTGATGCCTTTTATTAGAGCCTAGCTGGGAAGAGTGACGAGGCTGTCACACAGCCTCTTCCTCTGTCATCTCCGAGCTGAACGTGCTGGAGCTTCCATGCTGAAGTCCTCTGGCTTTCATCTCTTTGTCTTCAGCACTTTGTGAGGCAGTCTGAGGGGTTGCCTTGGCCTCCACGTGGCACATCTGCCCCCAGGAACTCCTGCATCCAAACTGCTGCCTCCTGTCCTTTAGGGAGATGCCCCTTTCCAGTGGGAACACCGAGACACTGCCATGAGGATCTCTCACTGAGCTGCTCTGACAATTAATTACCCTTTCAGTCAAAGCTCGTGGCCTGTTACAATCGATGCAATCTGACTGCAAACATCACAAAGGCCATTGATTCCCCACCAGCAATTTCACCAGGCTCTTCCACTCAGACTGAGGAAGAAAGCAGAAATGGTGGGCAGGCCTTTATTTCGGTCTCTGTATAGTCTGAGAGGCAGGCAGAAACATTCCCACTTGGAAGTGTTTACTCCAGCTTATTTTGCACATCCAAACCGAGTTTTCATCTGCCCTACAGCTCACTCACCCTCCACTCAGCTTTTGCACTCTGCAGGAGGGTGAGATTTGGGTAAAGCTCTGACAGATGCAGACACATCTTTTTTAAAATTTCCAGTGGTGTGCAGGCTTCTGAGGTAAAGGGTGGGAAACCTCTGCAGCATCCTCAGTACTCAACAACATCATGGACTTGAGACTCTGGTATCAGTTTTTGCTACCAAACAGTTTCTCTTTTCCTCCTGTAACTCTATGGCAACGAAAAGATGAAACCACCAAGGCAAGGCTGGTGGGATTGACCAAATTTTCATGGAAACCAACACGGCTACACTGGATTCTGCCTTGTACCTGGGTCATGGATAGGATTTTATTAATTACAACCCTTTGTAGCATTCAGATCTCTGACAAAGGACATGGAAGCCATTCCCAAAATCCAAAATTACAAAATTCTGCCGGATTCAAAGGAAAGCACAAGGGGTCTGGGGTACATACCAGGACACTTTCTGTCATTGCACTGCTTGTACTCCTCCTTGGGACCCTGGCAAGTCTGTCCACCGAAGAAGGGGCCGTAGCACACCCGGTCACGTCTCTGAGTGCCGCCTCCACACGTGGCAGTGCAGCTGCCCCACACTCCCCAGGCCTGCCACTTCCCATCCACTGGAAACAAAAAAAAAAAGAGGAAAACGAGGAGAAACAGCCTGTTATCCCAAACTTCATCTGCAGCAGAAGGAAACAAAGGTGAGCAGAGGAACATAGAGTAGGGCAGGGCTTGGTAGGAAGGGAGGTCTCCTGCTTTGGATCTTTGATCCTCAACAGACATTAAATCAGTGTTCCCATTCCCATCCCATCAGCCCAAGGGTGGTTTTGTGTTCCTTCTCAGCACCTCCACGCTCTGCAAAAGCAGCCCTAACTCTTTCCTTGGGCTGAGATTTGGGGCTGTGCTCCTGAACACTCTTCCCTTGGGCAGGGATTCAACCTGGCAGCCACATCTGCCAGGCCAGGTCCAAGTCTGGAGTTCCCTGGGAATGTACAACTCCTGTGTGAAAACAGACCTTCCTGAAGGAGGCCTGGCTCAGAGATTTAGAGAGACCAGCAGAACAAAAAGCCATGAAGGAACATCAAATAAACATCCCTCCAGCTGTTTCCATTGCCCTGATGCTTCACGTGCCTTGGAAAGAGTTTGGGATGTTGTGTTTTCTCCCAACATCTTTCCAGATTCAGTGAAAATGTGACTTCTTTTACATTAACAATGACATTTATCAAAATTCTGCCTCTTTTATGTTAACAATGGCATTTATCAAAGCGCCATAAAAATGTTAATTAGCCCTCAGAACATGCCTGCAAGGTAGGGAAACATTCTCCTCTGCTGCACCACAACAACTCGGTGACAGAACTAGAACAGGGCCTAAGTATGATCTTTACTATTTGGGCTTTAATTTTGAGTTACCACATCATCTTGGGTTGAATAATTCCTTTTGGGAGTGTGGGAGATCCATGTCTGCTCCAAGAAGCAGACAAAAATTACTGAAGAAGAGGGACAGCACCAAATCCTGGTGCTTCATTTAGTAATATTTTGTGCAGCAGAAAGTATTTTTGACAGGTAGCTCTGAAATCAGTGGGACAAGGTTATCTTAAGAGGGGTTCTGAAGCCCCTTTTTGCCTTTGAAGATCTCCCTAAGTTGCAAAGAAGGAGTGAGATACCTAAACATCCAAACCTATTCAAAACCACGTAGGAAAATCCAACACCTCAGTTAAATACTGCAGATAATGGTGCTACCAGAGTGTAAAGGGATTCCCTGAAGAAACAGGTAGACCAGGATGAATTTCAGGAGGATTTATTATTTTTATTATTACTCTTATTATTACTGTTGTTAGTATTATTATTGCTGTCATTATTAGTAAGTCACAGGTGAGTAAAGTAAGTGACATAAGACTTGAACAAAGGCTTTATTGTGACAACCTTCTCACTGATAAGGTTTAAAGCTGAAATACAATGGAGGATCCCCTGTTTGCTTGAAATATGACTGGGAATGTTGAAATAGTGGGAGGGGAGGAACAAAACAAAAAGAGGAGGGAAGCTGAAGCCCTGTGGAGCCTAGGGAAGGGTTTAATTGTTATTTTCTTGGGAGTTTTTTTAAGCTCATGATGAAAAGCTGATATCTAAGGTTAGAAAGACACTCCCTGTGGGCAATCGCTCACCTCTCTGGGGTCTCCTGAAACATTTGCCAGCCGCGGATTTTGGCTGGCACGGTCTGCCGGAATGATCCAAACCTCCTTATTACTGCACCGGAAAGGGCGCAAGTCTTCCCCAAAGTAACATTTTACTGGGATTGCAGAGGAAGGCAGGCCAAGAGAAAGAAGAAATCATTGGTCACCAACCTGGGCACTGGCGCAGGAAGCAGTCCCGGGTCTCCACCCAGTGTCCCTGGCACTCGGCTCCGCCGTAGGAGGGCCCATTGCACTCCCGCGTCCGCTGCTGGGTCCCGTTGGAGCAGGAAGCGGAGCACGAGCTCCAGCTCGACCACTCGTTCCAGTTGCCGTCCACTGAGTGGCCCAAAGAAAGAAAACGAGCGGAATGTGAAAATCTTTCCCTCTGGAAGGAGGAGCGTGGCGAGAGCCTGAGGCCTTTGCCTGCCAGGGGCCGAGGACAGAGAGTCACAGAACTTGAGAGAGGGCAAAGCTCATCAAAAAAAGGTTTGGACGACTGTGGCAGCAGGGATTTTTGGGACCCTCTGCAGCTCCCAACAGTCCCAAAGGATGCAAGTGTGGTAGCATTTCAATTTTTACGTTCCACACTCCGTGTAACACCATAAAAGTTGAAATTACTGATATTGCCCATTCCAGCATGAAAGTCCAAACTAATAACATTGCCAATCACAACACAACATCACACCAGAGGGCGTGGCTCATGTTTTCACTGAACTCTGAAGGGATCACTACATTACCGTGACATTTCCCATTTGGGGCCATCAGCACTTTTCCAAGGGACCCATTTTTCAGCAAATCTGTGGAGAATGAACTTTTTCTCAAGCACACAAATGCTCTTTCATTTGCTTTTTCATTAAAGCACACCCAGAAACTCAAGTCACAGTGTTATTGATGGGAATCCACCATTCCTGCTGGCTGGGAAATGTGGGAGCAAAGGTGTGCTCCAACAGAAGACTGGGATGAGTGTGTGTGGTCAATGTACTTCTCTCACAGCTGAATTAATTCTGACAGGCTGGAGATGTTTCTACCCAGCAGGGTCTTTGATAATTAAATAGAAGGAGGGAGGGACAAGGGAGGTTATGATAGGGACAGGATTGGAGAGAAACAGGAATGCATCTTATTATCATGGTATGGACTGAAGCATTCCCAAGTGTGCTGATTACACCCTAATTGGTCCCTGATCAACAGATCCATCACCCAGTCTGCTCTTCCTGAAGCATTTTTCTCATTAACAGTGGTCATCATGCTCAGTTTAGATCTAATTAGCTGCTAGATCTCATTCAGGAAAAACAACCTGAATCTCTGAAAAGTCTGAATTTTGGCTCAGTCACATTGCAGCTCATTTTTTTATTTTTTTTTTTTGGCTTTGCTTGTCTGCCCCAAGAAAAATAAATGCCAACTGGTCCCCCGTGTAATCTGCAAGGAATTGATCAACCCTGTGTAATCCCCATTGCAACTGAGCTGCTGTTTGTTTGCAAACTCAGTTAAAAGAAAAAAAAAAAGTGAAAAGCATCTAAATGAGCAACTGTTAACTCAAAGTGTGCAAAATCAGGCAGGCATAAAGGTACCTCTAATAGGTGTTTTTTTTAACAATCCAAAAATGTATGTTTTTATTGTGCATAAATTCAAGGCTTCGTGCCAGTGCCTATCAATCCTAACGAGGGGAATGTGAAACAGAGTGTTTGACAGGTGATTATTCTTTGGAAATGATCCAAACTTCACAAAGTAGGTCCCACCAGGTATAAATTAGCGTGGCTTTTCTGACTGAAGGCTGTGCTGCTAAATTTCCATGGACTGATCATAAAATCATGGAATCACTGGATGGTTTGGGTTGGAAAGGTAAAGATAATTTAATTCTAATCCCCTGCCATGGGCAGGGACACCTTCCACTATCCCAGGTTGCTCCAAGCCCTGCCCAGCCTGACCTTGGACACTTCCAAAGATGGGCCAGCTGCAGCTTCTCTGGCCTCATCACCCTCAGATGGAAGAATTTCTTCCTTACAGTGGTGGTGTCTGCCCCTCATTAATATTTCCCTTTGTGAGAGTGGTTTCACCACATTAAACATGACATTTGCCAGAAAATTGCATTTATCAAAAAGAAGTTGAATTTTTCCAATACCCTCCCTGCTGGTGGTGATTGGCAGCCTATCAGGAATGCAAGCATTTGGAGATGGTGAAACAAAGGAGCCAACTCCATAATCTGGTCATTCAGTGGGGGATTGGAAACAGGTAATTTCTTTGTAGTTATTCACAGGCTGTAATTTCAGAAACATTTGAAAAAATGGGGAAACAAATGCGGCTGTGCTGTCCCTCCAGCCACCTTGCACTGATGCAAAGACGCTTCTTGGTCAAGATCTGAGGGGTTCCCACCACAGCCACTGCCAAGGACTGTCTGGTGCCATGATCACACCACAGTGGGAGTCTATCAAAAATGTTCATTGTCTGGTGAGGGAATTGTCTTCCTCCTTTTTCCCTCTTCCAAGGACTTGGGGCTCAGCCTGTGGCATCGACAGCTCAGGGGGAACAAAGGTCCTGTTGTCCCTGCAGCAGAGCATTTTTATCAGCTGTAGCAATAAATCCTCGGAGCAGGGTGGTATTAAACCCTGAGAGTGTCTGGGGTGTCAAACACTCATTGTTGTGCTTCAGTGATTCCCCCAACGCCGCTCTCATTTGGCGCTGCCAAGCCACTGATTGCCTTTGTGGCACTAATTAGAGCTGAAGCCTTGCAGTTGGGCTGCTTGTCTTTTCCACCGCTGTTTCAGTCGCGTATTTATTTGTATTTAAATTAATTATGGATCAATGTTAACTCAGGGTATGCTTTATTGCCCAAGCCATGCCAGCTCTGACTTCTTAAATTTGTCTTTTTATGACAGAGTCAATTTGGTGTCTGGGAGGTTCTTATTCCAAGTAGAGTCTTCTGGACAGCGGCCAAATATCCAAGGATAGTTACTTGGAGTGAAAACTCGATGGGAAATGCCAGGAGGCTTCTCACTGTTTTCACAAAGTTCTCATCCCTCCCACAATCCCTCTCCTCCTCCAGGGACATAATAATGTCTCATAATGATTCTCATTAAACTGGAAAAATGTCAGTTGACATTATCCAGGGACAGGGAGGGAGTTTTGGGGAGGGAGCTTGTGTACAGATCCTGTCCACCAGGATACCCAGAGTTAAATTAAGGGGGACTCTGTTGTAAACCCAGGCCTGTCAGAGGCAAGAAGCCTCTGGAGCATAAGTGGATTTCCAGGTGGTAAAAGTAACTTCATCTTGAGGTTCCTTCTGATGTTTCAGAGCAAAACCCAAGGAGAGGCATTTGGAAGTGAAATTTAGGCACAGGGAAAAGGTAAAAAGATTAAATTTGTCATGGAAGCCATTAGGAGTCTCTTAGTCCATCTCATCACCCAGAGCAGGATCTGCCACAGAGAAAACTTGCATTTATATTGAATTAATGCACAGACAAGTAAAACTATTAATTAATTCCAGCCCAACAAACCCAGTCAGGCAAAACAACTTTAAAGCATTCAGTGGGGAGAACAGGTAAGAAGCTGAAGATAGTCTTGGAAATAGCAGTGGCAGCCAGATCCAACCCATGTAAGGTGTCCTCTGCAAGAGATCACACAAGGGAAACCTGAACCTGAGACTGAGCAACCCCAGAAATCACCTCCAGGTTTCTTCTTCAGTGAATCCTTTCCTCAGGATCCTCCTTGGGGTAGTTCAGAATTTCACTGGAGTCAGCTACAGACCTTGACAAGCCATGTGAGGGAAACCGAGCTGGGGAGACCTGCTGGAGGGAAGGTTTCAGATCTGTCACTGTCCCTACCTGGGCAGAGAGCGATGTTGCAGAACTTGGTTTGCTTCTCCGGGCCCTCGCAGGGGTTCCCACCGAACTGGGGGGGTTTGCAGGTGCGGGTCCGATCCCTGTAGCCTCTCCCACAAGTGGAGGAGCACAGGCTCCACGGGGACCACTCGTCCCAGGTGCCGTGCACTGCAAGGGAAGCAGAAGAAGTGACTTTTCTCTTCCAGAGGAGGTCTGAGGAAGTGAGGGAACCCACAGGGCACAGCTTCTTCCCACCCAGAATGAGCAGCGCGTGGGAAGCTGGAGAACAAACCAACCCAAAATGTGCAAGAGGAACATCAAGTAATTTTTGTGCTTTGCTATCAACACCAAGTGCCTGCTGCTCTCCAGTCTTTGAAATAAACCACAATGCACTTTTAGCTGACCTTAATTTTTCAGATTTTTGAGCCAACAGGGAATTTTTTAAGCAAAAGATGGATTTAGCTAGAAAGGAATGAAGCCCCACCACCATTAGGGAAGCATCATCACCATCGTTTTGTTGTGTCTTGCCCTTTATTTCCTCTCTTCCAACATTTTCTCATCGACTCCTCAGAGACTACAACGTTTTAAGGCTTTCAGAAAAGCTGTAGTCTGTCTATTGGTTATTATTATCATAGGTCAGTAACACCTCAGAGGCAAAGTTAGGGAGACTTGGAAGGGTAAAATGGAATGGGCAACATCCTCCAAGAGCACTCAAGACATCACTGGTAGATCCTGGAATTAGACATCTAATCGATTTTAATCTAATCTCATTAGCCTTCTAATCTATATTAATCTAATCTTCTCCAATCTAATCTAATCTAATCTGGCCAAGTTATTTATGGAATTTTAGTCACTATAATCTCCAGAGGCCAAATGTTGTAAGAATGCACTGATCTCTCTTAAGGGACTTCATCCCTTCCAGCTTTACCAGAGAAGCTAATACCAAATCAATAATCCTTCAGAAAAATAAGAAACACAAAAAAAATGGGACTTTTCCAGTCCTTCATCAATTGTTAACAGTGACTGGTGCCCCAGTGTCAGGAAAGGGGGTTCAAAAGTAATTCTCACCAGGCATCTTGCATTATAAGAGATAGCCAGAGGAGGAAACACAGGAAAGAACACGGATGGTGGTTTCACCATCACAGAATTGTTTTTGAACTATGATGTTGCTGGTCAGGAGAAATTAATAACATACTTATCTTAACAGCAAAATTCTTCAAAATAATCATAGAAACTGGTTTGGGTTGGAGGTGACCTCAGAAATCATCTCCTTCCAACTCCCTGCCATGGGCAGGGACCCCTTCCACTACCCCAGGGTGCTCCAAGCCACATCCAACCTGGTCTTGGACACTTCCAGGCAGCCACAGCTTCTCTGGGCAACCTGTGCCAGGACCTCACCACCCTTACAAGGCAGGATTTTTTCCTAATATTCAATCTAAACCTACTCTCTTTCAGTTTGAAGCCATTTCCCCTTGTCCTGTCACTCCATGCTCTTTGTAAAAAGTCCCTCCCCATCTTTCTCATAGGCTCCAGTCTCCTCAGGATGTGTTTTTTTACCAAAATTGTTCTCAGCCTGGAAACGCCCCAAAGGGCACCTGCCTGCAGGTGAACTGGGTTCATGGATGTTAGATGGCATGGAATTGTCCACACCATGCAAAGCAGGTGCCCATCTTGTCTTTTTGCCATCTTTTTGCTTGTCTTGCCATCTTGGTCTAGCAAGAGTTGCTGCATGAGGCCTTAAAGCATAAAGAGAAGGAACAGGGAACCAAAACCATCTCCCTCCAAGAATTACAGAATCACAGAATGGTTTGGAATGGAAGATCATCTAATTCCAACCACTTTCCACTCTCCCAGGTTGCTCCATGCCCCATCCAAGCTGGCCTTAGACACTTCCAGAGATGGAGCAGCCACATCTTCTCCGGGCAACCTGTGCCAGGGCCTCCCAGAAATATCTCAGTGGAGATACCACGGGCAACCAGACTCCCTCCCCTGCTGGCCACCAATACCTGGGCACACAGCAGAGTTGTTGCACTGCCTCTGCTCCCGGAGAGGGCCACTGCACTGGGTGCTGTAGGAAGACGAAACACAGAACCTGGTCCTGGTCTGCCAGCCCTCCCCGCAGGTGGTCGAGCACACGCTCCACGGGGACCACTCCTCTGCTGCAGGGTCACCTGTGGGGGTTGGAACAGAAGGTGAGGATGTGGCATCCTTGGATCTCCGGGGGAAGAAATTCCCAAGTTACTCTTGGCCGGTTGTGAGATCTGTGAGGCTGCAATGTGTCCTGCGGGTGGGGTGACAGGATGGGTGGGAGGGTGTGAGGGCATCGGGGAGAAATTGTGAGAGTTGAGAATGGGCTAAAGGGGGTTTTTTGGGTACTGTGTAGGGCTGTAGAACACATACAAATAAAAAAAAAATTAAAAAAAAGAAAAAGGTTGCTGTGGAAGCATCAGGTTATTGGGAAGGGCAAACTCCACCACCAAAGGTGGCGTAGCCACTCCAGAACCTTGTGAGCTGGGATAGGGAACCTCCCTTTAGAGATTGTACCAACAGGGATTAGACAGAGTAAATGTGTCCATAAATTGCTCACTTTTAAGGATTCAACCCCTTTTCTTGCCTTCTCACAGCCCCTGCCAGTGCAGGTTGGCAGAGGAGGAGCTGACAAAGCAGAAGGTGATGGTGCCTAAGAAGGGTCAGCTGGTGAAATCTCAGAAAGTTTTCTTGGCATGTCCTCTGCCTGTGGAGATCTGCTTTGAGCGTGTGACACGGAACCAGGCTGACTCTTCCAGGGCATCACACAGTCCCTATCAACTGCTTTATCTGATGGGGCAGCACTGGAAAAGCAACTAAAAATATCCCACTGATGGGAGTGAAAAGCACTGAGATGTGTTCCCTTTGTCACTAATATTCCTGCTGGGGCTGCTTCAGCAAGCCACAACCTCCAAATACGTCACTAATTTCACTAAGTGTGATATGAGCAGGGACCATTTTCCACTAGTTTTCACTGGGAATATTCTATTCTTCGACAAAATGCTTTTCTTCCCGACATGAAAATAAAAAGCTGTCTCTGTTCTATTTAACTAAGCCATGCATTGTTTGGGTTTTTTTTTATTTTTCATGGATTGCAAATAATTACACATAATAAAACTGGAATGTAGTGTTTGGTATGTATAGAACACAGGCACGTGGCAAAAAATAACCAGCATAACAGAGGGGCAACCCCTTCTCAAGAGAAATTATTCAGAACCTCAGACTGCACCGTGTTTAATCCCAAAAGGATGCATTTGGCAGACTGTGGGTGATAAGAGGGATCACAGCTCTGGCTGGAACAGGTAAATATCGCCCCAAGGGTCACCCACCCTGGCACCCAGCGCTTGGATGTGCTATCCCACAGCACCACCCCATTCCCAAAGAAAGCTGGGCAGTGGATGCTGTACTGAACTGTCCAGCTGCAATGTGGGGAAGAAAAGAGACTCTGCAGCTGGAGATCTCGGTGAGGGTTATAAACCAGCTGCATGAAAATGTCAGAGCAGGAACTGTGGTGGGGACTATAAAGGTTGGAGATCACCAAATTTCCCAATATTGCCTAAACCCCTGCATGTCTGTGTTTTTCCTCGAGGTGGTATATTTATGATTTATATTTATTTGTTTTTATTTATTTACTAGTGTTTTCCACATGCAATTAAATTGTGACGCTCATCAATCTGCTCTTTGGGATTTTTGGTAGTTATCTATGTTACTTGGCTTGTGTCATGCTTTTCAGCACATCTGCTTTGAATGTCTCCTGTCATTCCGGCAGCTGGGAATTAAAAATACACCCAGCTGACTGGAGCCTGTTGAATTGATGTGTGTTGAGAGGGAAAAATGTAGAGGAAGACCTGTCCTTGGTGTAAAATGGACAGACTTTCACTCCTTCATTTATTGTCTGGACACAGAAAGAGGTGGAGGTGAGGATCAGTCTTTCCCTACCCCATCTGTGCCATTGCAAGGATTATCATGAGATGCAAATGCTGTTATTCATTGAGCCAAAGTTGCTCAAAACTGTTCTACTTTTGTGTTTTGTTTCATTATTTTGCCCAGTTTGTCCCAGGTGGATGAAAGTTATGGACCACTGGCCTTTCCCTGGGATGTGTAGGAGATATTGTGTGTTTTGAGGCTACAGGAAAACATCAGTCCCATGTCCTGCTTCACAAGATCTCCTGGTAGAGAGACATCTGCATTTCCATGGCAATTTTCCTGCCTTTCCAACATCCAGCTGTGTCAGATCCAGAGTCCTGCCATGCTGCAAGCTCACCTCCAAAAAATTACATTTATGGTACCATCACTTCATCATTTGCCATCCTGAGTGTCCCGGACTTCAGCAGATCCCTCTCAGGCCCACAAATCCCAACCATTCCTGCTCCTTTCCCTGCTTGGGTGCTCCATGAACCAGTAGTGCCTTTACATTTCTCCTTCCACCTTGAGCAACCTCCCCAGCTCTGCATCCAGCAGCACCCTGTCCCTCAGTGCCAGGCAGCTGGGGGATTTTGGTAGTTAAACACTCCAATGGGATTTTGGGTCCCAAAATCTTTCTGGGAGGCCAGAAGTGGGACAGGGGAAGCCTGCAGAGACACAGGGGTCTCCTCCATCAGCAGCTCACAGCTTGGAGAGCTCACCGTGCCACCAACCTCACCTTCAGACCTGGCTGGGGTTTTGCAATCTCCATATTCAGAAGAGCTACTGTGTCACTGGATGAATGAAAGGCATCTTTGAACCAAATCCCACCTCTCCTGCCTCTTTTCTCTTTATTATTTCTGGCTTTTGCTCTTTCACAGCAGAAATAGCTGTGCTTAGAGGCAAATCTCCTCAATTATTGTCCCTCACATTGCATGAATCCCTGGCTTTTAAACCCATAATACAGTTTATTTTCTAAGTGCTGGTGACTCCCTTGGGCTTGGTGTCATTCTGAACCAAGCAATTCATCTCAGTCCCATTTGGGACATGATGTCCAGCCTAAACCTTGCACAAATTTAACAAATTTTCAAACCAAGCGAGACCCAGTTCTGAGACACTCTTCAGGCATGAGACAAATTCATTCTCAACTCGACAGAAACACAGTAGTGCCCATCATCAAAACTATGAGTGAGAAGGAGCTCTGCACTCCTGTGGGTCAAATGGCAGCAAATGCAAATTACTGAGGGAAGTGTATTGCAATTACTCATCCCAGAAGAGGATTCTGAGTCTGGTTTTTGATATAATGGCAAGATGCCTACCATGCTCATTGGGTTTGAAAGCTGCCTAGTCCAGCTCAGTGCTGTTTTATAATTCAACCTGACAGAGATTACAGAATCATGGAATGGTTTGGGCTGGAAGGAACCTTAAAGATATCTTGTTCCAACCCCCTGCCATGTGCAGGGACACTGTCCTGGCTTTCTCCAAACACCATCCAACCTGGCCTTGGACACTTCCAGGGATGGGGCGTCCACTGCTCCTCTGGACAACCTCTGACAGGGTCTCACTGGCCTCACAGGGAAGATTTTCTTCCCAATATCCAATTTAAACCTGTCATCCTTCAGCTTAAATCCATTGCCCCTTGTCTTGTCCCTCCATGCCCTTGTCCAAAGTCCCTCTCCAGTTCTCTTGGAGAATCTTTAGGCACTGGAAGAGGCTCTAAGTTGTCCCCAGAGCCTTTGCTTCTCCAGGCTGAACAGCCAAAGTCTTTCAGCCTGTGTTCATAGCAGAGTGGCTCCAGCCAAATTTGTCTTCATCCCCAGAGGAGAAGGGGCCAAGCCCTGCCCTGCCTCATCACCGGTGCCTGCAGGGAGTTATCTCCTCAGGATTGATTTCTATTAGTCCTGTGATGCCCCAGAGTAGCTTGGGGATTAGCAGGAGTGTCCCAAAGGATTTCCCAGGGCTCATACCCCACTTGAAGTGGGAAGATGGCCCTTGCTGCTCCCACAGATGCAGCTGCAGCAGATGGAGAGGGTCCAGCTGGTGCTGCAGAATGAGACACGCTGGGTGTTAATCCATGGGGATGTAGCACTGCAATCCAGGATCATTCCAACTCCTGGCTGCAGTGTCCCCATCAGTGCCTGCAGCTGCTCCATGGCTCCCCTCAGCACTAATGGAGCAGCACATCCCTCTGCCAGGAGCCCTCTCTGTTTTGGGGTCTGTCAGTCTGACATCTCCCCATGTGCCTCCCTTCACATCCTGCTGCTGGCAGAGTCCTCCTGGAAGCAGCCAGGAGGGCCCATGCCAGGGACCTGCTGGGCTGGATCTGGCTCCTGTGCTGCTGCTGGCAGAGGCACATGGGCAGCCAGCAGCACCCTGGCTGAGAGCACAGCCCTGCCACAGCCTGGGGGCCAGCAGGACCTGGACAACAGGGACAGGAGAAAATGCTGCTCTTCAGCTGGGCAAGGCCGTCCCCTCATCCACAGTCCTTATGGCTGGCATCAGCTCGTTTCTGTATTTCATATTTTTCCAGGTCTTGAGCAGATGTGAAATGTCTTATTCCCTACAATCTGTGTCCATGGGGAAGTTGTGGGCTTTGCTTTGGCATCCTCAGCTAAAAATTCCCTCTAACCCCTTGCTGGGCTGTACCCTCTGTCTCTACATCTCCATCCTGATTTCCTCGAGCAGCCTGGGACAGAGCCAGGGGTGTGGGAAGCTTGCAGCAGGACAATGCACATCTCCCAGCCCATGCTGCCCTCAGGGATGCCACAGCCCAAGCCAGCCATGCTACAGCGGTGGCCACAATGGCAGGGAGGTGACAGAGACGTCACTGAGCCCAGATCCAGCACCCAGCTGCACGACAGGAAGAAATGCCAAACTATAAACCTGATGGCAGAGTTGCAGGCTGGAATGGGAGCTCCAGGGAAGCACCTGGGACCAGGCAGAGTAGGAACAACAGGGGCCTGCCTTGAAGTGCCTTCCTTTCCTCTGCCTTTGGACAGAGAGATTAAGCTCAGCTTTTCCACGTTGTAGCACTGCAAAAGTCCTCCCTCTCCTGCAGGTTTCACCAGACTCCAGGGATCCATCCTGCAGGCAGTGGAGCTGCTCTCACTGGAGGGAGCAGAGTCCGTGCAGGGTAGAGAGGAAATTGTTCCCTGCTTCATGTTGAAAACCAGAACCCAAACAAGTCACCCCCAGATACTCCACAGCACACGGATTCCTGATGCTGCACAGAGGCAAAGTCCTCCTGGGCTGGGTGGAGCACAGGTAACCTACACTAGAATATGACACTCTCTTCCTTCTAATCAAACCATCTCTTTGAAGACTTTCTAGAGCACAAAATGCTGGCAAGGTCACTGGGCACTGATTTTAACCTGTGGCCAGGTTCAGCAGGCTGTGCTCTGCCTGAGACCCCTGATGTATTGAGATCCTGCCACGACACACAGGCATGAAGGGAGAGCACAGAACCTTTCCAGACTGAATCACAGAATCACAGGATGGTTTGGGTTGGAAGGAACCTTAAAGATCATCTACTTCCACCCCCCCTGCCCTGGGCAGGGACACCTTCCACTAGGTCAGGTTGCCCAAACCCCCATCCAACCTGGCCTTGAACACTTCCAGGGATGGGGCAGATCAGACCTGGCACGGATCTAGGTCCAATTCATCCCCATCTTCGCAGATCAAGCTGTCTGATATTGCTATACATTATCCCCCTTCTGTGGCAGAAGGGTGGAAGGTCCTGCTGCGGAACCTACTGGAGGCAAGTCCTTGCACAGCACTAAAGACCCACGGAGAGAGGAAACCAATCCTGCTCTGTCCCCACCTGCTCACCCTCTCTGACAGCCAATGGGAAGGCATGACATGGACATCAGCAAAGGGGCTGCACTGCAGCGAGGTCAGCTTTGGCTTCATGAACCACGTGTGGTTGGGTAACTCAGACAAAGCAGTGACTCAGAGGTAGGCAAGGTGATGGGAAAACGTTCTGTGGGATGGATGGTCTTGTCAGGGCTTTGTGTCTGTCCCTTTTTGCCGTCTCTGGCTGACGGTGACGACACAAAACCCCGTGGGGTGATGGAATGGGAACAAACGGGGCGACGACCATTTGTTCAGCGCGTGACAACAACGGGGGGAGTGTCCCCCACACTGACCTGGGGGGAAGGAGATGGTTAGGGGGTCATTGAAACAGTGCAGAGAGCCCAGCCCAGCTGGGCAGTGCAGTGACCAGAGCAGTGTCCCAGCTCCAGAGGCCGCTGTGGGAGGTCAGAGCTTACCTATTTGAGGTGCAGGGTACCCGTAGTGCTGCAGGTCGTCAGGGTCCTCTCGCTTTCTGTTATCTGTGGACCTCAGCGATTGGCTTCTGGAATTATAGCGTCCATTGGCTATGGCAAGGTAATGGGTCATGTAAATACACCTTGGTTCACTCTGCAAGATCTTTCACTACAAAGGTAACACGCATTAACAACAGCGACCTGCGACGTTCCCCTGACGTGGCCACCTGCTTTCCAACCCCAGCACCCCTGGCCACCAGTCTTCCCCGAGGTTTCGGCACCGAGCAGCCAGAAAGACTCGGGCTGGCTGGTGGTTCAACCCCTTCTTTTTGAGTGAGATTTGGGACCACGCAGAGTATGATCCCTTATCTCTGGTCTTTAAATAATCTCAGTGGTTCTCTAGGGTGCCTGTGCTCCTTGCTGCGCTTGTGCTGGCACTGAATCCCACCATCCCTAGCGGTGTTTTGAGATTTATGGTGGTAACTGGCAGGGTGCTTTTGGTGGGAAATTCTGCCTTGCAACCAGCACCTGCCTAAAAATGTCCTGAGCCAGGAAACGCTGAGTGGAGCAGGCAGGTGAGGGCAGGTGGAAAGGAAAGGGATATCTCAATAAGATGTCTCCTTTGTAGGCTTTACCCTGCCACCAGCAACAGGGAGACATGAAAGTCTGGCATCAGCAGAGTACCAACACAGCCATAACTGGGAACTTTTCCTTCTCGGTGAGAAACAAGCTCCTGACCCTTGTGTCCTCCTGAGACTCTCCCAGGGGAGCCCACAGTGTGAAGTTCAGAAGGTAAATAATGCATCCATAGTAAATCAAAGGCATTTAGCTGTTCCTTCTGAGTCCATGCTCCACCAGCTTTCCACTTTCATTCCATGTGGATCAGCCCTGAATTGGCTGGAGGGGAAGCTAAAATTTCTGTTGTCTGTATTAGTGGACATGCTGTAACCCTGACACATCCCCTCCCTAGCAAAGAGAGAAAAAACCCAGCAACAACAACCAAATCCCATCCACCAGGATCGCCTGCTGCAAATCAGGAGAGCTCAGCTGACTCCACTGGAGTCACATGGAATAGCTGAGAGCAGAGCTGAGCCCCAGTAATCTGTGATCTGGCAGCCAATTTGTTTCCAAACAGCAAGTACCAGACAGAAGATCTTTTCCCCCAAGGAGGTAAAACAGTCAGACATCTTTTCAAGAAGTATGAACTGCCAAGGGTTGAAATGGTGACAAATTTGATCCCGGAACCCTGAGAAAATTAATAAAGGTTAATGAAGCTTCAGTGTGGTGGCAGGAGTCTTTATTGCCATCCAAAAAGGGAAAGCAGAGGAGGCAGAGGAATGATTCAGAGAGTCCCTGCCAGAGCCAGGCTTTATATTCAGCAGTTTGGATCATGGGAGAGTTTGTGAAATTGTATTATTTACCATCACTGCTGCCTGAAAGCAGAACTTGAGGAGTCTAGGAATTGTCACATGGACTCCTCCAAACCTTCCCAGCATCAGCTGGCTGCTGTCTGGATGGGATGGGGCAGTCACCCACCTGCCATCCTCAACCAGACATCAGGACCACAGGCATCCTGGTATCTGCAAACACATTGTTCTTGTCTGGCTCTTTCCTGGAGTAGAAAGGTCCCAAACACTATGCTTTTTATTGCTAAAAATCAAAAATCATGGGACTTTTCCTGTGGGAGATTCAGGTGAAAAAAAAGACAAACTCTAAGTAGTTTTCCAACTACTTTTTTCCAACTACTAATTTTTTTGAGTTTAGTAGGAGACAATTTAAATTATTCCCGTATCTGGGACTTCTCACATCCCCACTCATTCCTGGCCATACCCACACACTTTCATCTGCTCTGATTTAAATCCTCTCCATGAAATCCCACAAAACACAAAAACAAAATCTCCACCTGCAGCACATCCCATGGGCTTCCCACAGACTTATTTAGGCTGGGAGGAGAAAGTGGGGCTGGGCATCAAGGAGTAGACACAGAGCTTGGATGGCTTTGTCAAGTGCCCAGAGCAAGGAAGGTGACAGGGAAAACCTGGGATTGAATATCCCAGAAGCACTCAGTGTTCAGATGGACGGAGAGACAGGAGGCAGCACAGAGGGAAGGAAAGATAAAAGAGCAAAATAGAAGTTTTAATTGCAAGTCTAGCACCCTGAACCTCCTCTCACCAATTATTTGGGCCTGCTGTCACTGACATCTAATGACTTACCGCAGTCTTGAAGGATTGAATGATTTCCTTTGACCCTTGACAGGTATGACAAGTTTGCACAGTTATTTCTCATGCTAATTAAAGCCAATCAGGCCTAGGGGCTGAATGAGTGACCCTTCCAGCTTCCCCCAAGCTTTCCCCCTGCCAGGGTCGCTCCAGTGCCGCAGGAAGCCTTCCCTTTGGAAAAGGATGTGCAGAGAAGCCAGTCTGTCTCTGTTTAACACAGAGCTCAGCTGAGATTTAACCTGGACAGTTTCCTTGGGGAGATGTGCAAATCAATCCTGGTTCCAAGCAAAGCAGGGAGACACCAGGTCTCTTAGGAAGTTGTGCAAGTGCTGCTTTGCTGTGGGTACCTGAACTTTACGGGGTGGAGGTCAAAAAGTAAAGGCAGTGGGGACCTGGTTGGATTTCATCAGCCTTTTTCCCACAGCAGGGTCGGTGGAAAGGAGTAATTCCAGGATTAAGGGAAGACCTAGACTCAATTTACATCCCAGCTGGATAAATGTAGTGAGAATGGCATGAAAAACCCAAGCACCTTTCAGATGCCGACAGGAGGAATAGAGGGATAATGCTCTTGGAACCAAACAGGGATGTTTCAATTGCAGGCAGAGGCAAGTACACGAGATTTTGAAAAGACACAGCTCAAGTGTGGATGTGGAGGATGATCAGTGCTGGCAGGAGTGGGAATAGGAAGCAGGTGACCAACACTTCTAATGAGAACATGCAATGTGTCAGACAGCACCCTGCAACAGGGAAAAATAAAATAAGGGAAGAGACTTTGAAGTGCTGTGGGCCAAGGTTTTAGCATCCAAACATGTCTCACCACAGCTACACACTCTGTACTCATCCCCCAAACAGGAGAGACAAAGAAATTAGCAGGATCATGAAAATTATTCGGGCAAGGTGGGATGGTGGGAATGAAGGGATGAACCAGAGCAAAAAGTGGAAAGGGATTATTAAAAAAGTACCCAAAACATTCAAATGAATCTCAGTGCAGTAAAACTGAAGGGAAATGTGGTGGCCATGGAGTTTTTGGGGTATCTATCAGCCACTAAAGAGTAAAACTGAAAAGCACATAACTACTAACACCCCCTAAATCTCAGTGGATGGAGAAGAGGGACATTTTGGAGGCCACTGGATATATTGCAGTTACACCAGCTAAGGAAATGACCCAAAGCATTTCAATTTGAACATCCAAACCTTGTGAAAACATCACTGGGGGCAATCTGTGACTCTCAGAGGTGAAGTGCCTGAACCACCAGTAAAAAAGGGGGCCGGGCAAAGTCTCTGCAGCAGCAGCAGCAGCAGGTACCTGTAGGAGCTCCTCCAGCTTGCAGTGAGCTCAAGCCTGGCCTGCAGGGAACGAAGATGCTCCCACACATGCCCAGGATATTTCAGCTCCGTGGTTGCAGCAAAAAATAAAAATTTAATGAGACTCAGGAGTGGCAGAGACTGAGGCTCAGCCTTGGGAATGTCATGTGGAACATGAATTCCTTCACACCACTAACAGCTGAAGGGCGACATCCCGAACCTGCTGGAAGCTGAAAATCCAGCCTGGAATGACAGGACTGTGCCAGGGTCACCCTCCTGCACCTGCAGGGTGTGGTCACCCCTTTCCCAGCCGTGGGGAGCTGTGTCTTCCCAACCTGCATATTCAGAAATGTCAGGAATGGCTCTGTGCAGCCTCTGCCAGATGGGATGGCAGGATTTCAGCCTGCTCCTCTGCTGGTTCTCCCTCCCCAGCAACAAACGCAGGCTGCCACATCTCTGATTGCTCTTACATGTCTCCAGCACTGCTGAATTCCGATGCTGGGGTCAGGGCTGTGAGATTCCCCCCTCTGGTTTGGATCTTGTCCGCCCAGGCTCCTTGTGAGGACCCTCTCCCTGCCAGGTTGTGAGCAAACCTGGCCTCAAGAACAGCCAAAAAGAGCCACTGGAGCACATCCCCTTCCATCCACAGTGGGTGGACCTGGGAAGTTCCTCTGCAATCTCCCACCACACTTGGGTTGATATTTTTCCCCTCTCCATAAAACGGCAGCTCCTGCCCAAATCCAACAGAGGGAGGAAATCTCTGTCTGTGCTGGAGAGGGCGATATCACCAAGTCCTTTACCAAGGAAAAATCAGAATTATAGCAAAAAGTTTGTGTTTTCCTTCAGATTACATCTCTCCAGCTGCCACAAATAAAGGCTCTGACTAAGCCAAGCTGGTGCTACCAGATAAAATTTCCTTCCCAGTTTGGGATGAGGCTTCAGTACAGTTTTTCCTCAGCTTTTTCACGTTCATTTTAGCATTTCACAGCTTTTGGTCTTGCCCATGGAAAACTTACCTGGCTCACTTCCTGTTAGGCTTGGGTGTATATCCCTGGGGAAATTTAGCAAGATCATCAAGCAAGAGACTCTACTACAAGAAAGAGCAGAGATGGTGGCCCAAATGAGTGGGAAAGCAAAAAGACCACATAAAAATGGTACCTGTGGAGTCATTCAACCACCCCTGAGCACTGATTTCAATCTCTGTGGCCTCCAATGTGTTCAGACTCAGCTCTGGGGCTCAGGTGTCTGCACCCACATTTTGGTGACCAGGCTGGCACAAGTCACAGCTCTTGGAAAAAATGAGAGGTTTTTCCTACCATTCCCACTCCTGCATGCTGAGACCTGCTGAAGGATCACCTGGGGGCAGCTCTGGAAGAGGAAAATGGCAGGACCTGGGCAAGGTCCACCTGGGGGAGGAGCTGTGTGACAAGACAACTCTGGAACATTTGCCACGGCCTGGCAAAATGAAAAAAAAGAAAAAAAAAACAACAAATGAAACCCTCATAGATTCTTCCACAAAAGTTCCTCCCAGCAGCTCCAGGGATCTGAGTGTCAGCACTCCGAGAAGTTACCCCAGAGGCTGGAGATCCAATTAAACAGCTAAAACACTCCTGCTTCTGAGTTTTAAAACCCATCAGCTTCTGAGACGCTTCGGCAGAAGTGAGAAGGAGAAGTTAAAGACAAGAGATGGGTTTTGAAGGTGGTGGGGATGTCTGTGTTTTTCTAACCTGACTTGCTTGGCCAGCATTTCCTCAGTGGACAGGTTTCAATTTACCTCCACAGCAAAGAGGAAAATATCAGAGCACTCATCCCTGTTTTGTTCTGGTGTTTTATCAGGATTACAGATGGTTCTTTGTTCAAAGAAAATGTTTTTTCCTGCTTTTTTTTTCCCACTAGAAAATTAAGATCTCAGCTATTCCACAATACTTGGAGAGGTGGTCAAGTATTATTACAATCTGCTTAAAAGCTGAACAATTCAAGACAAAATTGTTTTCCTGGCCAGCTCCTCTTTGTTTTGTTTTTTTTCCCCCATCTTCCCCTCATTTTTTTTCTTTTAATTAAAAAAAGAAATCATTAGAACATATTTAACTGCAGCTTATAATGAACACTTAGAATAATAACAGTTCCAGGGAAAGAATGAACATTCTACTCATCCCGAACAAATCTATGAGCAAAAGTCAATATGAAAATAACAGTGACACATTTAAAACAGGATTTTTATTCTACTTTTAAATCCTTTTAGGTTTTGGTGCAGATCAAAGTAAAGAGAAAGAAAAAGATATGTGCAAGAAAATTAGAAACCATTCTTGGGTCAAAAGTGCATCTCCTTGGGCAAAGGCAACAGGGGACAGATTCACTGAGAAGCAAGTTCAGAGCCAAGTGAACAGTTTTGATATGAAGAGACACAGGTTTATCTTGAAGTAGGACACAGACCTCAAGACATGCACGGAGAAGTCTCCTGGAAAGATTTATTGCTCACACACCCCCTCAAATCCTTTCCAGCCCATACACATCAAAATGGGGCTCAGCAGTTTGTCTTCAAAGAGGGTCTTGGGACAATTAATCAGAATTAATTTATTTATTTCAATGGAATAAATCGGTTTGCGCTGCCTGTCTCTGTGCGTGTATTCTCCTTCCAAACTAGGACTTTCCACTTAGCTTAAAATTCCTTCTTCCCAAATAATCTGAGCTGAACTAATCTCATTGCCGTTTGGAGGAGGAATTGACTGGGAATGCAATGGAAGAAGGACAGCAAGACAAGTGAAATGATTTACTGAATCATAGCCCCTTCAGGTTTTTTGCACATTGGATTGGCTTTGCTGAGTGTTGTGTTCTGGGAAAAAGCGAAGTAAAGAATGAGTAAAAACCAATTCATTCTTCACTGCTGCTCTCCATGCCATGGAAATCCAACCCAGTCTCCACAGTTCTCCACCCCTCCTTGCCCCACAACCTCAGGGGATCTATCATGAAGAAGAACCAAGATCTATCATGAAGAAGAACCAAAGTTTTGCCCCTAGAGAAGATCAAAGGAAGATGTTACGCCCCCTACTCAGTGCTGATGAGGCTGGCTCTGGAAAACAGGGTCTTCCCCCTGGAAAACAGGGTCTTCCCCCTCTCACCACTTCAAGAGGGCTGCCAGAAGAATCAAACAGATCCCATGGACAGCTTGGAAGATGGTTAGGGATGAGGAAGGATGTCTTGCAAAGAGAATCTGCTGAACTGGGTTCCCCCCTAGTTCACCCAGCATAGGAGGGACACATTAAGGAGCTTTTTTGCCTGTTACCCCATGTGTTGCCATGTTCAAAGAGTGACAGCCCTGCAGATCCCCCTCTCCCACTCCCAGTGCCATCCCTTCTTTTTTCACACATTGTTCACCAAGACTGCTGTGGCTTTTCCTCCAACCCCAATCCCACAGCTGGACTTTTTTCAGGACCAGCTTCCAGGTCCTTGCACTCTTAATCTCCCTACAAGCCACAGCTGAGTCATGAATACAAAGTCACCACCAAGCATGGGACACACAGATTAAATATCCCTGGTGTGGGCAAACTTCAGAGGGAATTTAGCAATTGTGAGTCAAGGAGACGGAATTCAATATACCAGGTTTCATTTAAAAAAAAAAAGAAAAAGTCTAAGCCTAATTGCAACATATTTTAAATTTATGGAAATGTTAAAAAATGCATGAGATTATTTTAGCCCTTATTAGAGGAATATATTTATGTCCCTTTATTTGAACTTCCCCCTTATCAGGAGATACTTCCCAGCCTTTGAAGACAGTTGAACTTTCCTTAGTTATTTGGCTAGTCAGAGGAGTTATTCAAACATTCTCTACTCTGAATTTGAAATAAAAAGAAGGGAATAATTATAACCAGTGATTTGCTCGCATTTGTTGAGCCGAGCTGTGTCTGCAGTTGGCTTTTCCTCTATCCCTCTCTCAACACAGCTTAAAGCTCATCCCTGAAGAACTGGGGATGAAAGTGCTGGAGTTGAACCCATCAATCTCTGACTGGTGTGGGCACTCTGTGCCCTGTTCTCTGGAGAAGAGGACCTGGAAAGAGGATGCATTACAGGGGGAGAGTGGAGCACACACTGAAGCCTTTGCATCACTCAATCCATAACAGCCAGATCTTTCTCTACATTTTATCACCAGGGGCTTCCATTTGTAAAAGAAAGGGGCAGGGTCACTGCTCTTGAACTAAACCAAGAAGAAGCAAGATTAATATCTCTCTTAGCTTTAATTATTTAGGAGAACTGAAAAAAATAAAAAGCCCTTCAGGAGATGGCAGTTTTACCACCAGCCTATGAAAACCTGATGCAAGCCTGCTTATGGATTCCTATGAATTCTTTGGGCTGAAGGTCTGGAGGGTGGCGGAGGACCGTGCCAGCACGTGCATGCGAGACAGGCAGGGACGGGCAGCGCCATGCACAGCCGGCTCCACACATCCCCCTGGGCTCACTGCTCCAACTCAGCTTCCCTGAGCCTCTGGAGCACCCTCCGTCCTTGATGGGGATGAGGCCAACCTCCTCCTCCCGGGAAGGGCGCCCCGGCCCCGCGCGTGCAAGGGAACATGCCTCCACTTACTATTGCAAGCCTTCCTATTGCACAGCCGTCCTTCCTCCAGGACTCCCTCGCAGGCCAGGCCTTCGTTGGGAAGGGGCTTGCAGGAGCGCATGCGGGTCTGCAGGCCGCCCCCGCAGTCCTTGGTGCAGTCACCCCAAGCCGACCAGGAGTTCCAACCACCTGGGCAAGATCCAGAAAAGCCCCGTCAGCCCCAGTGAGAGCCCAGCGCCCAGGGGAGCCAAGGCAGCACCGGCCCGGAGGACCCTGCCATGTACCAGCTGCCAAGACTCAAAACTGGGGTGTCTTTAAAAAAGTGGTGGGGCTGGACACTGCAGGGTAGCCCAGAAAGTCAAGATGGGGAAGGGAGAAGCATTGCCTGACTTTACATTGACTTCTCTTCAGTTATTCCTATTTATAGAGTTTAAGAAGTGTTTGGACAACACCTTCAGGCATATGACAGGGTTCTTGGGGCTGTCCTGTGCAGAGCCAAGAGTCAGACTTCAGTGATCCTTGGGGATCCCTTCCACCTCAGGATATTCTATGATTCCAACTAGTCCTGCTCATCCTGTGCTTACTGTGGCAAAGAGCTCCCCTCTGACAAGACTCTGCCCATTTTGTGTCCTGTTGGCTTCTAACCTCAGAAGACACAAGCAGAAACCACTTCAAGGTACAAATCCACCATCAGTGAGGTTGTGTCTCCTCCTTGTGCCACCACACAAACACACGATGTGAAGACAAGGAAGGTGAGAAGGGATAAGGGCTCTACCACTCATATTTCAAAAAAAAAAAAAAAAAAAGACTTTTCCTTTCCCCACACTGCAGACCCCACCAGGCACAGAGAGGCACCGCTGTCAGGGACAGCTTTGGTGGGGGAATAGCATGGGAATGACATTCTCCTCCAGCACTCTTTGCAGAGCCCATGGGGAGTAACCTGTGGGCACCATAAGATGAAAGTGCATTTTTGGCTCCTCTCCCCAGCCGTGCTCAGTACTGGTGTCAGCAATGCCCAGCTTTCCCCAGTGTACCACAGTCTACAGCTCTGAAAATGGATGGATCCACCAAACCACCTGGCTGCAGGGATGATCCTGCTACTTAAAGGGAATTCTGAACCTCTGCAGCCTTCTCCACCTGTGTCTCTCCTGCTTCCTGCCAAAAGCAACCAGCCCAGGTGGAAAGTCCATAAATGCTGGTGGCAGGATGGACTGTGAAAACCATCTGAATCTGGCTGGCATCCCACAGTCCAAACACCTGCAGGGAGCACAGCAAGGCTGAGTTTCGGGTTGTAAAAGACAGCAGGGGATTATCCAATCCTTTCAGGTGATGGATAAGCTGTCACATCCCTCAGTGGTCAGTTCGCTCCTCATCGGCCACACGCAGCAATCTAAAATCTGCTGGAATAAGCCTCGGCTTCACTGTTCTGCTCCATCGTTTGTCCACCTCATGGGGAGGAGCAGAGGTGGCCCTTCAGCCCAGAGGTGGCCACTTTCACATGGCTGCTTTTCCTGCTGTGAATTCTCTCATTACCCACAGCTACCCTTGGAGATGTTTCAGGTCCAGGGGATTCAGCTCTGTGCTGTGCTCAGGCAGATAAGGATAACGAGCTAAAGATGCAGTGGTTTTTTTAAGACAGGAAACACTGGGAAAATTCTTGTTTTTAAAATAAAAATGAAATATCCCCCCCCCCTTTTTTTTTTTCCCTTGCCAACAGCCAAAAAATTCAGAGATGCAGATGATCCACTTCATTTGACTCGGTCTCCCTGAACTGCTATTTATGAGATTGTGGCTGTACTCTGAGCTCTGGGCTCTGCTGGTCCCTACACACCCTAGACAGGACATCAGCCCTGCCTGGAAAAAAAAAGCCCAACTAGGTGCCAGATCAGAATTTGGGGACATTATCAGCACTCTTCTGCACAGGGATGGGCAAATACTCATCCACCTCCACAGCAAAAACCCACGAGTGCATACTCTGGTACCTCCAGCCTGGTTGTGGTTTAACTTTTCCCTCCAAGACAGAGTGAAAATAAACACAGGCTCAGCAACATTCCCACTGCTGATGGCCATGTAAGCTACTCAGATACTTAATTGTGAGAATAACACGGAAAAATGGAGCAAGAAGGAAATGGAGGGCAGTGAACTTGCCAGCAAAGTGCCCAGAGATCCTGGCAGCAGCATGGAGGATGGAGCTGTTGCTGGCACAAAGCAAATACTTGACCTTGAAGAAGACTGTCTCTCCCTCAAAAGTCACTTTCTGTGCTGGTCACTTTCCTAAACAGCTTGTCTTCCATCTCCTCATGGGAGACAGATTGTGTTTCCTTTGTAAGAGAAACCTTCGGTGTAATGGGAGGTATCCCGATGCCGGGCTCAAGCTGATCAATAGGATATCTGTAACCAAACCCATTTAGGAGTTAATCAGCTCCTGGCTTGCCCTTCTCAGGATGTCCTTTTTTCATCTCACTCCCTTGCAGATTAGGAGTGAGGCTGGGGAAGGGTAAAAGCAGCTTCATTCAAGCCTTGGCTTGGATTGCAATTTATTTGGGACGCTTTTTGTTGAGAAAAAATGCATAATTGCTCCGGTGTCTTTAGAAGTTATTTTACATTGTGTTTGTAAGCAAAACATGGGCCTGCACTCACTGGTTGTTGTGGTGTCCCCAGTTTGATGATGGATTATTCAAACAGTTTTGCATTTTGGGGACTGATCCCCTAAAATGCACAGAAAAATTAATGTTGCCTGGTCTCACTACAGGGAAGAAGGAGGGATAATGAAGGTGCCAGTGATTGATTTCTTAAATCACAGAATCATGGAATGGCTTGAGCTGGAAGGGACCTCAAGAAGAGATAATCTTGTTTCCACTGCCCTGCCATGGGACTCCTTCCACCATCCCAGGGTGCTCCAAGCCCTGTCCAACCTGGCCTTGGACACTTCCAAGGATGGGGCAGCCACAGCTTCTCTGGAAAACCTTTGCCAGGGTCTCACCACCCTCACAAGGAAGAATTTCTTCCTGATATCCAAGCCAAACCTTCTTTCTTTCAGTTTGAAGCCGTTCCCCCTTGTCCTGTAACTCCAGGCCTTTGTAAATATTCTCTCTCCATTATTTCTTGCTGGCTCCCTCCAGGTACTGGAAAGCCACAATTAGATAACCCTAAAGCTTCTCCAGGTTGAACAATCCCTGCTCTCCCAGCCTTCCCTCACAGCAGAGCTGCTCCATCCCTCTGATCCCCTTGGTGTTTCCTCTCTACTCGCTCCAACAGCTCCAGGTCCCTCCTGTGCTGGGGAACCCAGAGCTGGAGGCAGCTCTGCAGGTGGGGTCTCACCTGAGAGGGGCAGAGGGGGCAATTCTTACTCTGATTATCCCCAGCAATGGGAGAACCAGGCAAAATAAGATAAAAACTGTCATGATCTCAAATCCTTAATTGGAATGAGATCAGTTTACGAGGTTGAGCACAGATAACTTCCTTCCTCCTCTTACTCCTCAGATTCCATCCCATTTGTGAGTAACACAGAGAAGCCAGAGAAGTACCAGGGCACTTAGTAAATCAACACAGGCATTTACAGCCAAGACAAAGGTACTCCCCACTTTATGGAGCAGTCTTTTTTTATCATCAGGTTGTACCATGGTCCTGACAAATTAAATGCTGCATGTTATTTTTCTTGTTTACTGTCTGTCAGATAAACCTTTTGAAAACCCCCTTCTTTTCCCAGGTCTAGTCCTTCTCTGCTTCAAGTGATTTGTCTTTTTTAGTGGAGCTGTAAACAAGTGATAAAGGGTCTATTATATGAAGTTATTCCTATCCCACCTTTCAGTGGGGAAAATGCTGTGCCATGAGGGAAAACACGGTGTTCTTGTGCCCACTGCTGCATCTGGTTTCTGGAAACAAGTGGCTGAGGGAGCTGGGGGGGCTCAGCCTGGAGAAAAAGGCTGAAGGGAGATTTCATCTCTCCCTACAACTCCCTGACAGGAGCTTGTAGTGAGGTGAGTGTCAGTCTCTTCTCCCGAGTAACAAGTGACAGGAGTTTTAGATGATTTATTTGGAAAAATTTCTTCACAGAAAGGGTTATTAAAGCTGGAACAGGCTGCCCAGGGAAGAGGTGGGGTCACCATCCCTGTGAGTCTTCAGACAAGGTGTGGATGTGGCACTGGAGGACACGGTGGTGACGAACATAGTGGGGGTGCTACACTGGTGGTCAGGCTTGGTGACCTTTTCCAATATTAATGATTCCATGATTCTATGAAAAGAATGATCTGCAATGGCTGTGGCATCACACAGATACTTTTAGCCCAGTGCAGAAGCTGCAGGAGGGATGAAAGTGTGATGTGGTCCCTGCAGAGACTGCACAGCTCCCCATCAGCCTCTGCTTGTCGAGCTGACCCAGCCCCAGTGACTCCCCATCCTCTAGAAAACATCCATCCCCACCTGCCCACCACACAATCCCCACCACAGGAAATGCAGTGCAGACTGGCTCTGAAGTTAATGGGACCCTTTGCAGGCAGTCCCTGCTACCCCTGGGGTCCCATTCCATGAGCTCTCAGCAAACTGCTGCTCCCGCTGATCGATGCGGCTCGAGTTGCCATCTGTCCTTAATCCACAAATAATGAGGCTGCTGCAACTGCTCTATGAAGGGTTTTGCTTTTCAAAGGCACTGAATCCTCTGAAGGTCACACACCCAACCCCTTCCCACTTTGTGAAGTTTTTCTCAGCTAAGGTCTCGTGGAACCACGGAGTTCTCTCACCTTGCCCTGTATCCCCCTAAACTGGAGGAGCTGTGGCTCATGCCTCCAGCTCCAGAGGTCCCCATCACAACCAGCAGCTGTCACCTTGATCAAACAGCCAGGTTTAACTTGCATTTTTTTATTTCTGGAGAGCAGCCCAAGCTCCTAGAATGTGTTTTAACAAAGGTGGCTGTTGCATCTGGGGCTCGTGGCTGGTCTGAGTGCCCATCATTCAGGGAGGCCTTTAATCCAGTTTCTAAAGAGTTTTTTGATCCTCCTCAGTCAGTTCTTATCATGATCATGGACTAAAACAAATTACTTTTCATGCAAGGCTGACCCAATGCATTTTAATTCTCCGGTTAAATGGAGAAAACTCCAAGATGGTTTACATCAACCAGCAAGCTCATATTTGGCATTTCTCTTCCTGAATCTTAAGCAGAGATGCCAAAAGAACGGGTCTTTCCTAGTGCA